CCAGCGCCCCCCGGCGCCGGCTCGGCAGGAGCCGCCTTGAAGCGACAGTGGCTGCTGAAACGCGGCCGCGGGGTTTGCCCTACACAACCTTTCACCCAAGGGCAGCGTTGTTCGTTGAAGGCGTTGCGCGAGAGCAGAAGAAAGCAAACACCAGGAGCCGTGTCAGCGGCTGGGCATGTGGCCTTGGAAATAAATTAATTGGCAACAAAATGTTTAGCTCCTGTTCAGCGCTCGGAGGGCCCCAGGTGCGATGGATCTAGCAGCTGTCCCGCCCTGCGCAGCCGCCTCGCAGGGAGGGCTCGAGGGGGGAATGGAGGCGCCTTCCCGAGGGCTGGAGCGGGGCCATTCCCGGGCCGAGTGTGAGCAGGACAGCGAGAGCCGCCTGTTAGCCACGTGTGACCTGGAAACGTAACCGAGGACGGGTCCTCGAATCCCAGACTCTCCAAATAAGGCGAGGAGGGAGATTTAAAAAGAAAAAATCTCTTATACATCATAGCAATATATTTTGATGATTGAAACCTCTAGATTTCTGCAGGAGTCCCACCATGTAACTTTGTTGCTGCTATTTTCAACAAAGAATCATGCGAATCAAGGTGGCTTCAACCTGTATTGTTATACCTATAAAACAATATTATAATCAATATTGATTTTCAAGGCACAATGTTTCTTCATGTCAAAAGTTAGGCTACTGTTTTGCTACTAGTACCTAAACACAATGTAAAAATAATCTCAAAAGCTTTCTTTTCTTCTTTGTTTTTGTTTTGCTTAAGCATGTAGCAAAACAAGGGAAGGAAACTAATAACAAAGATTAAAAAAAAAAGTAGAGTACAACATTGAGACAGTAACTGTATGTATAAAATTCTGTAGCCCTTGTCATCTGATGGTGTTTGCAGTTGGCATTTTCTTGGTTCTATTTGCTAAAGCAAAAGCAGTTACAGAGCAAATCATAAAAGGAAAAAACAAACAGCAAGGCTAACTTAAAAAAATCTGCTTCCAGTTCTCTCATTTGTCAATATAGTAAATAAAGTATTCTCTAAGCAAATTTAGATGTTGATCTTGTATATCTATCATGTCCTGGGATATAAGCTCACAGTGTTTTCCATAGGGTCCTCTATCCTTCCTTTGCAAAGACAGGTCATAACCACACAGGGCGGGAAAGAGGCTTCCTCATTCAGTGAGATCTTCAGCCTGAGCTGCCTTTCATCTTCAATGCAGTGTTTGTGTCCAAATTCCGAACTAATTTGTGGGATGTTATTTGCTGAGTGTTTAGGTTATTTTTATATTTTAGTGCCTTCAATTTTACTTGTTAAGGTATTTTATTAGAGGTTATGGAAAGGGCTGTATTAGCCATGCACCAAAAATGCAGACTGGTGGGGGAAAGAATGAGATGTTTCTGGGCAGAGCTCTCATATCCAGAAAACACAACTTTCCTGGGATGGTCCCATTTGCCTCTTCTACGGTAAGTGCCACACAGGGTTCGAGCAGTAGTAGGTACAGTAAATGTTGCAGAACATTTTACATGAACAGAAACCATACTTAGAACTGAATGGTATGGGTCTGCATTATTGCACTCGTGATTCTTCATATATAGTGAGACATATATAAATGCTTCATATAGGGAAGATTTTCCTTATCATGACAGGGCTGGTAGATTTCAGTATATTACATTCTGAAATATAAATACAAGACAGCTGCTGCCATAAAAGAAACCTATTGGCTGACCAAACTAGCCCAAGTCAGCTCCAAAACTAAACCACAAGCTTCTGGTACAAGAAAGTACACATTTGTGTAGTTCTATCCCACAGATGTTGACTTTAGTCTGATATTTTCAATCTGTTTCTCTTGATTTTAGGATCTGAAAACGCTTGTGAAAAGACTTCATTTATGTTTCTGCGACAAGAGCTGCCTGTGAGGTTGGCAAACATAATGAAGGAAATCAGCCTTCTTCCAGACAACCTTCTAAGGACACCTTCAGTTCAACTGGTGCAGAGCTGGTAAGGACTTCATTCCTTTTAAAGGTTAAGGAATGACACATTCTCTTCTATAGAAAGAACATTTCATGTGCTCGTTGCATGAACTTTACTTATTTAGACTAAGTAAGTATCCCAAGGGGACATAAATTAGAAGCTAAACTTGCAGATATCGGAAAAACTTCTTGTAGCTATTAGAGAGCCCGGAATGGAATGAAATATCACTGATCAACTAAGCATTGCAGATTGTCATGGTGAGAGTTCATTAACAACCAAAGCTCACCACAGCAATGTTTCAAAAGGACTTACCTAAATGAAGAAGCTAGGGAGGAAACCTTTAGCAGCGGTTAAAGGCACCACATCTGCAAAACAGAACTGGAACCATTTAAAAGACAGGTTGTTGCAGACTCAGGCTAAAGGTAGAGAATGTATTGAAGAAAGTGTAATAGCAACCCCTCAAAGCTAAATCTTTAAAGCAGCAGAAGGTTTTTATCGCAATAGGAGGCTATTCAACAGAAATAATAATAATTAAAAAAGCTTTCAATTAAGGAAGTTAGAAGTAAGCATAAACTTTTGTAGGATAAATGCAAAATAGAGATTGCTTGTCAACTACTGAAGATGCATAGACATTTGTAAAGGCTTTTAAGTAAGCGAATAGACTATCGTAGTCTGCTGAATAGATGAATATAAAAAGAGATTTCAGTGAAGAAGAAAAGTCTCAAAGAAACATGAAAACTGAAATTCTCCTGATACTAAATGATGGTGATAAAATGGGAAATGAATTCCACTTGGACAAATACAAAGTAAAGCACAGAAAGCAACCTCTCAGCTACCTAGTCTGACTGCTTGCTTACAAACAGGAAAGAAATTTTGATGCCAGTGTGGATATTTTTTTCTGAATAAGATAGTAGATGGGCAAGAACGCAAATAGATTGTTAAGAACTAAGTAGGAATGGGGGGGAGGGTGGCAATACAGTGGGGCCACTGTGTTAGTCCATTATTCCTATGAACTGCATGCAGATTTAGTCACCCTATCTTGGTCTTTGTCACATTTCTTTAATTTAAAGGTATGTCCAAAGTCTTCAGGAGATCCTTGACTTTAAGGACAAGAGTTCAGAAGATTCGGATGCTATCCATAGGTAAGGATTTGCTGTCATACTTATTTTATGCAAAAGAGTTGGCAAGTGGCTCAAGAACAGTTTCAACTATCTTAAATTTCTGCAGTTACAGTGCCATCACTCCCTGCCTCCCAAAGAAAAGTACTTTGGAATGTGAGACAAAGCACTTCCTTTTATGTCAAATTATTCTGATCTCCTTTTCTTTTTAATACTGAATGCACTTAAAGCTTTAAGTACATTATTCTTGACATTATTCTTGACTTTTTTTTTATTCTTGACCAATAAAATGAATTCCTTGCTTGCTGCAATGCATGGAACGTTGTAACTGTAGAGTACATTGTGGCATCATTCACTGATAGTAGCTGCTATTTGACAGGCATGGGATGATTTATATGAAAAGGGTTGGCACAATTTTCTCTCTTTTTCTTGTGGCACTATGATTGATTTTTCAGTGTAAGTTGCCTGAAATGACTTGCATGCTATCAAGTCTGACCTGCCTTTTTACTGTGGTAGGTGGATCTGTGATGTTTCTGTACAGTGGTCTTTGTTTTCTGGACCAGATACTTACTCAATGTTCCAGAGTAGTAAAATGACTTGAATGTGAAAATCTTAACATTGCTTTAATTTTAGTTTTACAGATACCGTGATAAAAATCCGGAATCGACACAATGATGTGATTCCTACTATGGCTCAGGGAGTGACAGAGTACAAGGAAAGCTTTGGCATTGATCCAGTGACCTCTCAAAATGTGCAGTATTTTTTAGATCGTTTTTACATGAGTCGCATTTCAATTCGAATGCTCCTTAATCAACATTGTAAGTGCTGTTGTTGTAAGGAGGGAGAATAATACATGTATTGTCAGTATATTTTCATTTTCATGTTCTTAATATGAATTTCAGTGTTTCCAATGAATACAATTTACCTTGCTATTCATAGATTTCTCTAATACAGTTCTTAAAATACTTATTAATAGCCATTTTAAGTATGCTAAAGATTGCAATTATATAATGTTAGTAAATTCCTATTCAACAATATCTAAGACACAATCTAAAAATTACTAAGTTATATTTTAGTTATTACTAAGTTATAAAAAACTTAAAATTACTAAGTTATATTTAAACATCATTATTTTCTTTGTTGGCAGCTTTATTGTTTGGCGGGAAAAGTAATCCAGCTCATCCAAAACACATTGGAAGCATTGATCCTAGCTGCAATGTTGTTGAAGTTATTAGAGGTAAATTCAGCAGATTAAAAAGAATTCTGTAAAGTTGTATGAATATCTGTATTGAGAGCTAATATATTCACATAGTGTTTAGTTCTTTTTTACCTGGAGCAGAAGTTTCATTTCAAATGTAAGACAGTCTTGTTAGTTTTCACAATAAGTCCAGTTTTTGTAAGAAAAAAAATACAAAACTGCCTGCAAGTGTCGAGCGTTTTCAGTTTGTGAATTTCTTTTTGGCAAACTGCAAAAAAATAAGAAAGGGAGGAGGCAGAAGTTAAACCTTCTGTGTTTTATCGTAGATGGCTATGAAAGCGCTAAGAGTCTTTGTGATCTATATTACATGAGCTCTCCAGAGTTCATCCTTGAAGAGCTGAATGGTAAGTGACCATTCAAGTGAACTCTTGAATGGAATAACTTGAAGTATCTGATACTAAAATATTCTCCCTCTACTTCTCATGTATTTAATGTGATCTCTATTTACTCTCTCTATACAGTTCTAACTAAGAATAAGACTTACTTTTTAATTTTTTTTTTGGGGGGGGTGGCGGGTCTGGCAGAAGGCTTCCCCTGCTTTTCCTTTTATTTTTCAATATTAGGAAGTTCAAAGCAGTAGCAAAGGTTGTAGCTGTACAGCTTTTAACAGCTTCCTTCCCTCCCCAGCCCTACACTCTTTGCTGAGATCAGGACTATTACATCTCACACGCTCTGCATTCTTCTGTGAGACTTTTAAAATTGGTAGCAAACATTCTGTTCAATTTCTCTTCCTTACTTAGCTATCATGTAGTTGTTGCAATTGGATACAGTATGCATTTCTGTAAAAAAAAAAAATAATTGCACCCACTGGCTGTAACTTTTGAAAAAGAAAAAAACCTCTTTCTAGCTGGGCTGCTATGAACTTGGAGACCAGCTGTAGTCCACCCAGTCCTCTCGTTATAGCATGGCTTACTGGAGTGCTTTTCAAGTTATTAAAAGCCCAGTCCGGATAGCGATATAAAAACAAGCTCTACAGATAATTGCAAGAGCCAAAACACACCCACAGTAACTTGGCCTGCAAACCTAAGGGCAAAGAAAATGTGGCCTTAACTGCACATGCCGCCTTCTTGTTTTTTTTTTTCTTTTTTTTCCTCCTTCCTGTCTTATAAAACATGTCAATTTTGTCCAGATTAAAGGTTTGTTTCTCCATCTTTGAGCCTTATTACTAAAATAACCCCTAGGGCCCTCTCAGTCGTGCTAATTCTCTGTCCCAAGGGGTCTGCTAACGCTGCGTGCGCTCCGGAAGCCAAAGCAGATCCGGTAGTTTATAAAGAGCCTTTTGCTCAGTGAGTTGTGAAGGGGAGTTAAACCTGAGCGGGCCAAATGCACATTCCTCCTCTGTTGTGAATGGAGGCCTTTAAATAAAACTGAGGCACGTGGCTGGGGGCAGGGTGATGGAAAATAGTTAACTTGAGGGTAGGAATCAGATTTCCAGGTGCGATTTTTTTTTCTTTTATTTTTGACCACTATGTAATTCGATTTAGATTTTTTTGATACGTCTTTTATCATTGATAGTTGATAAACGTTTCTTGCTAACACAGTCTGGTTATTAATTTGTGGAACTGGAAGGACTTTCATGGACAGTAGAACGTTCAGAGCCACTCTTTTTCTTGATTTGCATGTAATGAATGTAATTTCCATGATTTACTCTTTAAATTTACTCTTTAAAAAGTATTTTGAAAGTTATACCAGTTTATAGACAGAATTATCTAAATAGTCTTTAAGGTTTCATGTTATATGAGCTGATTTCTAAAGTAATCCAAGCAGAGGCTGTGCTGTAGTTACTGTTTGGTGCATTAGAGTATCACAGAATAATTTGGGTAGGAAGGGATTTCCGAAAGTTTCTAGCCTGACCAGGTGCTCAGGACGTCTTAGTCTGGTTTTAAAAAGCCTCCAAGGGTGGCAGCCTGTTCCAATGCTCCGTTGTCCTCATGGTGCAAAAGTTTTCTTTATATGCAGCCTGAACAGCTGTTAGCTCATCCTACACTCGCTGTCCCCTGTCCTTTCATGGTCCTAAGAGCCTGTCTCCACCTTAACAACCTCCATGTAGGTACTGCAGGCTGCTATTGTATGCTGCAGTCAGTGTTATCACAGTTTGTTTAAGATTAGTTTCTAAAAAAAGCAAGCACGCTTAATCTTGAACATGAATTTGAACAAAACATTTTAGGAAGGCTTCTGCTCAAATTTTCCTTCTCTTGTAAATTCCTTCAGGTAACACAAACATACATTTTTTTTTAGTTACTGCTGGAATGAATAAAGGGTATCTAGTTGCTATTTAACTATTTAGGCTTTCTTTTCTCCAGCTAAATCACCAGGACAGCCCATGCAAGTGGTATATGTGCCATCACATCTCTATCACATGGTTTTTGAACTTTTCAAGGTCTGTGCAATTACCATTACACTTTTTTTTTTAATACATACTTTTTAGTGAAATTGTAATTGTTTAATTTTTGAATGAGCTGCAGCTAGTAACCTGCTTTCAGCAAGCGCAATCCTCTAGCTATTTGACTGCAGCAGTATACTTCAATATTGTCCATAGAAAATGAACATGCATGTCTTTTATGTAATGACTGAATACATCTGACAACGTCAGCAATGGGCAGCATTGTCAAAATCTTCAAATGTATGAAGACCCTCGTTAAAAAGCAATGGCAAATATGATAAATGATTTGGCCACCTTTAAATCTGATATTATATGAGAGGAGCGTTATAGAGCTTTCCCCTTGCAATTTCTTCAGTCTTCCAATTTTCTTCAGCTTCGTATCATATTGCATGTACAATGCATTATAGAGAATTCTACAAATAAAGCTAAAGTAAAATTAGATGTCTATTCTAAAAATATTTTAAATAGTTCAAGTCCGTGTAGTTACCTTCTAATAAATAATACAAATACTGAACAAACCAGAAATACATAAAAGATTTTTCTAAGGTTGTTGTCCTGATTCTGAAATAAGCTGATAGAAATATCTTATTTTCCTGAAGTGGTGTCTTAAGATAATACAGAAAATGGTAACAGTAGGATTTAAGTTCTTGTACTTCAATTTGGAAACTGCAGAATGCAATGAGAGCCACCATGGAACATAATGCTGACCGATGCATTTATCCTCCAATTCATGTACATGTCACATTGGGAAATGAGGATTTAACTGTGAAGGTAACACTTTTTTGATTATTTAAAAAATATTTTTGTCTTTTTTTTTTCCTTGACAGAGGCAGCATGTTTTTAGGTTTACTTAGTGATTCTGATTTCAACAGTACCTCCTATCTGATTGTGTAGCATGCAAGCATGAAGCAGTTAGTTACATATTCATGCGGCAGGGTCCATAAGGAAGTTTTATGCTTTTGTCTTGGTCATTTTGTGCTTAACTTAAAGGCCAGCATGACTGAAAATGAAGCTGGCAGTTTTGTACAATTGTAATGTTAGCATTTTGTAATTAAAAATGATAGTGATGTGTAAGCTGGGAAAGAAAATGCGTGTTCCGTGTAGATCAGATCTGCATGAAAGTTGGTTTCCAGCAAAATTTCTTTTTATTTTGTACAATATCCTGCTTGAATTTCAAATACCAGCTGCAAGTAACTGTCTTTTTCATAGGTCTCACTAAAGTCTAGTAAAACAACTCCTAGTAATGGGTTTAATCACATTGTGTTTAATTGATACTATTCCTGAGAAGTAAAGTTGAGAAGATATAGAACTTTGCATTTGTTTAAATTAGTAGATTGAGATGCTAACTTCCAACAAAATTAGTTAGAAATAAAATAAAAGCAATTCAAAATTGAGATTCTTCTTGCTTCTAAGGGATTATTAATGCTTGCCATTGTAGTGTTGTTTAAATGATTTGAGTGAGGGATGGAAGGGAAGGATTCATCTCTCTTGCGTCATTGCTGTAGCTGAGAGATCAGAATTTAAGAAAAATGTATGATTTAATAAGGACAGCTTTATATTATTCTGAACTTTTTCTGGACTTCTTTTTTTTTAATAAAAAATATTAACATACATGATCTTTCTTGTTGAAGATGAGTGATCGTGGTGGAGGTGTTCCTATGAGGAAAATTGACAGATTATTCAACTATATGTATTCAACAGCACCACGTCCCCGTGTTGAGACATCACGAGCTACACCACTGGTATGCAAGTCTTTTATACTTTACTCATCGTATCTAAGATGACAATCACAAAACCAAACAAAACCCCACATAGAGCCAAAGACCCTGGATTAATAATTTTACAGATATGAGTATGACTATTTGGATGTTAGAGCTTAACTCAAATACTTCTCTGAAAATAACTGGGAAATTGCATAAAAAATTAAAATACTCACAATTACTTAAGCTTTGAGATTCCCATCTTTTTGGTCAAATGTAATCAGCTACCTCAAGTAGAACACTTCGCTATACAGCACATGTTGCCATAAGCAGAGGACTCTAAACTCCTGTTGTGGCCACTGAATGAAAGGAAAGATAAATATAGCTGTAGTTCTGGATGGGGTCTGTGCTTTATTTCAGTTGTAGAGGATGGTACAACTGACTACACAGTACAAGAACAAAGGTGCACAGTTTTAACGAGGCACATGAAAAATCTGCTTCTGTCTCAAGTGAATTTAATGGGGCGAGCTCAGGCCTTTCTGAAATTTTATAGCTGTACAAGAAATCGAATCTTACTGTCTCAGTTAAAACCACCAAACAGCTCTCCTTAAGTTTGTTATGCCTAACATTTGAACTCATCTTACTGCCAAGCATCATGCATAGTTTTGTCTCTACCTCGTAAGTCAAAAAAGAAAAAAAAAGCTGTTTCAAACTGATGCAATTAATGGATTTTTTTTTTCCTTTCTTGCTTGCTCTCCTTCTGAATCAGGCTGGATTTGGTTATGGCTTGCCCATATCACGTCTGTATGCACAGTACTTCCAAGGAGACCTGAAACTGTACTCTTTAGAAGGTTACGGTACAGATGCAGTTATTTACATAAAGGTACAGCTTCTTAATACTTTACCATTTTAAGTTCATAATAAACTCTTTACTATTAATGGACACCTTTGTTCTGTTAGTCTAACTAACTTTGATTCAAAAATTAGTCAGCTAATGTCTTCTCTTTTTGCAGGCCTTATCAACAGAATCTATTGAGAGACTCCCTGTATACAACAAAGCAGCTTGGAAACATTACAAGGCAAACCATGAAGCAGATGACTGGTGTGTGCCGAGCAGTGAACCCAAGGACATGACCACTTTTCGCAGTATATAATTTTTTTTTTTTCCTCAGAAGTGCATAAGTAGACATATGTTTTTAAAGGGAATGTAAAGAAACAAACTGTTACAACAAGTAGCTAAGCCATGTTTGAAATGTGAAAAAAAACAATTTAAGTGAAGTAAGAAGCAGCTTAGTTCAAATTACTGTCTTCTGCCAGTACTCAGAAGAATTAAGAACTTTGCATACTTTCAGTTTTTCAATAAAGGTGGTCACACTTAATTTGTTCCACCTTCTATTTATGACTTCTTTCAGTAGCTAAATCTAGGGAACACTATTTTCAGGTGTTATAGGGACCAATTCATACATTTTCAAAACTATTTTAAAATATGAACTCTTGACAGTTCACCAGAGGAAATTGGTCAGTACAGAGTGCACCAGATTAATGAAAAAATCTTTATAAGAACTATTAGGCTTAACACTATACCATTGCAGCTGGATGGCACTTTGAACTATTAGGCTTAACGCTATACCATTGCAGCTGGATGGCACTTTTTATTCCTTGATTCTTAAGCACATTGATGTCTAATTTTCTGAAGTCAGAAATTCTGCCTAAACTTTATACTTCCAATTTTTTGCAGCTGTAGAAATAACCACTTTTGGATCTGTAGAATTAAAATAAAAACAAAGTTAAAGAAGTTTTAGCTGCTATCACTGGTATAATGTATCTCAGGTATGTGGTGTTAGTTGTATTTCTTTATAGTACTTGGTTGTAACGTGAATAATATGTGTGATAAGCTTATCTTGGTGTGATCATTGTGACCTAGCAAATAGTGTTGGCTTGTACACAGGAAATACGTCTTACAATATTTGATTATATTTCTGTAGGTAATACCAAAACACAGTATCAATGGTATAGCACCAATAAGATTTCTGGGGGAATGTCAGGTTACATGTGTAAAGGAGAACTATTTTTAATAAACAGATTTTTAATGTTTGCCCTTACTAGGGCATCTGTGTTACTTTGACACTAGATACCAGCTTCTCAGGAGTATTTTAAAAATGGGGAATTACTAACAACTTTTGAAAATAGCTTTGTATTTGCGATGTGATTCTGACTGTTTAAGTAATAACTCAGACTATAACCTAAATAAGGTAAGCAGGACATGTCCATCAGTCAAAGACATTGTCAAAACAACACACTGGGGAGGAGAATGAGTATTACATTTCAGATACACAGTTCTTCCTTAATAAAGGACACAATTTCTCTTGCTGCCTACTGTGCCAATTGTGTTCAATTCATACACATTCATGTTGCACCTTTAACTCCTATCATGAGTGAACATTTTGGCAATGATGCAAAGATGTGTAAAATATCAGCTTTTTCCTCAGATAACCAATACAGTACCAATGGTTCTGAGCTTCAGCAGTAGTAGACACACAGGATCCCTCTCAGAAAGAATAAATTTTTGCATAAATTTTGCTAGTTTACAAGATCAGCTCAGAGAAGAGGGCAACAGCGATACTACCCAAAGCGATGAGAATAACTGCTAATTCAAGCTTAATTCTTGTTATTCTACTTGTAGCTGAGTCAGATTAAAGGTTATCACCAACTTTTTCCTGTGGCTTTCCTAGCCCAGTTCTGCAATGCAAAAATCCCTTTATACCCCGTTCAAGCTAACATGGGACAGTTCAACAGGAACGAACTGCAGAATAACAGCAATGGCAGCTGCACTGGCCCTCTGCGGAAGGGTTAATCCATCTGTGGCAACCTGAACAGCAGAGTTAACTGTTCCACGCAAGCTTGTGCACAGAGGTGGGGGGAGTTCCCTTGTTTGCATACAAGAAGGCAACCTGGTGACTGAGGTACCTTTCAAACAGCAGGGCTACAAGGGAGAAGGAGCTGCAGCCGTTTCCGTCTTCCAATTGCACTCCCTGTAAAGCGTGGCAGCAGGAAAGCTGGAGGAAACGTTTGCAGCTATTGTTTTTGCTAAGGCAAAGCTGCACATCATAACAAGGGATTTCAACAATGCAACTCTGAAGCTGAACTTCATTCTGGCTCTTGTGCTACGTTTTAAATGTTAAGCTCTTTAAATAACATCAACTGATTTTAGTAATATATGAGAAGAAATGTTTCTGAAAAAAAACAATTTGTTTCTTAGGAAAATCTATCACAAGATACCATATGGTATTACTGAAATAAAAATCTTTTCCTGTTCTGTCAGCCTTATACAACTTTAACTCTGATTATTAGAGTAACTTACCTGTAAGTATACTCTATTTTTCCCCTACAACTAATTATAAAAATGGTGTAGTATATTTTGGTTATCCTGCCCATAGAAATTTAATCAATTTATCTTGATTTACATAGCTTTGGTTCGGAACATTTTTCATTGCATTGAAGTCAGTGCTAGAACACCGATTAAAGTGAATCATGGTATAAAAACAGTATAATAGCCCAGCTATCAAAATGCTGAGATTAAGAGTTTTGAATGAAAATGACTTCAGTCTTGCACTTTGAAATTAATTTTGGTTTATCTTTTTTTTTTTTTTTTTTGAAAGATCCACTACATTTATTCAATAAAATTTATTTAAAAATCAGACTTCCAGCTGAGTGATTCTTTGTGAGCTTGTTCTTCCACCTCTGGCAGCTGCTGAGTGCTGCGGTCTGTGTTAATCATTGCTCTACCCCCCTCCCTCTTACACTTACATGGGAGTTTATTGGTGCTGCTCCGGCCACAGCCCTGCACACAAGCAAGCCTGGGAAGCTGTTACTTACCCCGTCTTTTTCCTGAAAAACACACACTCTACAAGCTGCAACATGGAGCTCAGTTGGCTTAAAAGAATAAAACAACAGAGGCTGTACCAGCATTCCCAGTTCTAACTGCAAGTGCTTCACTGAAAACTTAGCTCTCTCAGCTAAGCTAGCAAAGGTGCAGGTTTAAGCATGTGAGTCCATTTTTTCCCTAATTCTCTTCTCTCAGCAGTAGGGCAGCTCTTCCTGCCTGGCTCAAAGTCTGTAAGTTTTGAACACAAATTCAAATCTACAGGAAACAAAGCAAATAAGAGTTAAATCTTGACAAAATGATTGTTTGTTAATGCTCAAAACTGAAAATATAACTGTTTAAAAGTCATGACCACTAAGATTTTTAACCTTTATTTTGAAAATGCATCGTGTTCAGGAGTCTTTTTGCTGACATTCAAAAAAGACAAGATCTTTACCAAAGGAAAAAAAAAAAAAAAAAAAAAAAGTGAAACACCAATGAGGAAGTCCATTCATTTAATTAAAATGAAAAACAGTCCATAGATTTAAAGGAGAACTTGGTCCACATTAATTAATTTTGTTCTAGTCCACTCTATGATGGAAATTACACTTTTATGCAACGTTTCTGTAATAATCTAATTAAAGAAGTGCTGTTGTAGTATCCATCTAAGACAGTATGTAAATATACAAACACCAATTCATTTTCTAAACTATTTTGGGAATCAAATCCTCCTTTAAAGAGAAATAACCTGTAGTCTACAATCAAACACTTAAATACAATGCAGATAACCCAGTGCTTCAGTGATATTTTTTCCTACAATTTTTCCCTCAGTATTTTAAGTTTGAAAAACAGCATAGTTTAAAATTAGCAAATATATAAATTTGGTCCGCAAAAATCTTGTAGCAAGTAGAAAAGAGAAATACATGTATTGCAAATTGATCTTATTCATAGCATAAATGTATAAAACTATGTATTGTTTAGGAAAAATATGTTAAAAAAGATCTTATTTATATGTCTAAACCTTGTCCCAACACCATACAGGGTAGTGTGCAGAAAATTTAATGTTGTAATTAGTGTATGCAGTTTATAAAAACTACTAAATATTTCTGGTTATTTTCTCAAGAAATTGCAACACATGGAATTCAAAAACAAATGTGTTACTACAGTGAATTTAGATTTTTTTTAAAAAAGGACCATCACTGAAAAATAAAATAATTCAAAGAAAATACTTCATAAATTTGAAATACATGTTTTCTTTTTAAATTAATTTGACATTACTGTTTTCTTAAGCTTAATTTTTACTATACAACTTCAGTGGCAACATATAAACAAACTGTCACAGACTAAATTTGGCAGGATTTTTCTATTGTCCCTCTATCAGATTCAACTCTATATCAAATACTAGCTAACTAATATTGGAATGATTTTTAATACAACAGTCTATTCTCCACAAATATTTTTCAAGTTCAATGAGAAGGGCTTTTTTTTTTTTTAAACCAGTCTTAGAAGCACAAATAGTACTTAAGGCAGAAAGTTAAATTATTGTCTATTAGTACAGGCAGAGTCAACTAGGAATAAAAATACTGAAAATATTTATTTCAATTTAATGGATTGTAATGGGAAGGGACTATTATTAAAAAGTAAAAAAAACCCCAAACCCTACCATGTTAGACTGCTGCACTTTCCCTCCTCCCTCAATTGTACAATTATATACAAAAATGATGAACTTCAAGATGAAGCAAGCCTGTGCTAAGAGAAAAAACAGCCTCGTTTTAGCAGCTTGATTCAAGCGTGGCTACCACTCTGCCACTCTTCCGAACTTCTCGCTCCTTCTTTTGAACTTTTTCCTTCTGTTTTTCCAGTTTTTCTTGTGTCTTTTTAATATCCTTAATTTTTTTCTTTATTGTTGATCGGTCATTTTGACTGGAAACTCCTAAAGCCTTTGGGGATGGGGAGGGAAAGAAAAGGACCTTGTTATTAATTTTTTTTAACGGCAAAGCATATCACTTAAGCACCAACAGTTCAAGAAAGGGTTATTCACTTTGCTGCAAGACAGTCTGTTTATCTGAATGCAGACCTAAGTCCTCAAGGGCACCATAAAGGGTCATCTCAGTAACAGAAGCTGCCAAGAAAAGGCAGCCTATTCTTGTTTGGTTGTGAAATAACAGCTTCTTATTGCATTTCATATGCAGAGACACAGCTGAAAATTTCTAATAATTTTCTAACTTATAATAATTTTTAAAATATTTTCCTATTTTTCTACATAGCAGCAATTTATCTTCATTTCTGTTTAACTTCTCTTAACTAGTCTTCTCTCTCTCTTTTTTTTTTTTTCTCTCTCTTTTTCCTCCTTTTGGTAACCTAGGAATGCTGCTGAACTCAGATCAATCAACTGTGGTTTTTAAACTGCTTGGGAAAAATCCGGTCCATGAGAACTGATTGCAAAAAGCTCATGTTTCTTTTAAAGTTGCACAGCAAATAAAAGTCATTGAAGGAAAAAACTCCAATAATCACTCCCCAAAAAGTAACATTAATAATAATAATAAATAAATAAATAAATAAAGCTTGTGGCTTTTTTTTTTTCGTTCGTTCTATCACTTTTTAGAAAACAATGCTATTTAAAGGAAAAGAGAAAATCCTCCCCACACTACAACAGTAGTTCAAAATATTTTCTGCCACATAACTCATTGACATATGTCAACAGCAAGCAAACACAGTTTCTTGGTAACAAGACCTAAGCAAAAGACCAAATATCAGAACGATTTCTTGCTTTGATGATGCACTATTAAAAATGTGACTACTAACAGTTACTTTCTTTTTCAAGATTAATCTTTCTTTTAATCGATATGTGATATGCTAGCTTGGTATGCCTGTCACTGCTTGTCTTTAACATCTCCTATGCAGGGGCTGTTGTTCCCTTTATCTTATCTTTTGCATAGTGTATTTTCTATCTATATTTTGCACTAACTGGACCTACATTCACTTTAAAACAATAAAGTATTCAATGAGTAGTCAGTGCACCTTGGATTTTGATCAGCAGATGGCAGTATCTGATTTCCAGTTAAAGCACTGCAACCGAAGTACACTACAGAACTACTAGTGGCATTAGGTATAAACTAAATTTTAAGCATCAACATCCGAAGTTTCTCAAGTATAGACGTTCACTTGATATACTTCTGTCAAGTATTTTCTTTGCATCCAAGGACACATTTATTTATCAATATACAGGAAATTTAGTGAACACGTCCACTGCAGTGGATAAAAACCTTCTGATAAGATCTTATGAGATGTTGAGATGCATCATAAACATATCAACCCCCCTCATGAAAATTATGCTTTTTTGACTTCCTGGGGCTGCCAGTAAGGACAAAATATGTTTTCGTAATGCAAAACCAGCTCATTTTTAATTTGATATCAATTATTACATTCTCAATCTGTATATTTTAAGTGTTTTAAAACCAGAATTCTATCCCTAAGAACACAGCTAAAAAAAAATCTGAGTAAGCAGAGAAATGTATACAATTACAGATGTATACTGAGGAGGCCACATACCTTTAACTTATCACTATCAAGCTGCATCAACTGCTGTCCATCTATGTTCATGGCTGTGAACTCTGCAATATACTGCTCCATGTTCATTCCCATTAACCAGTGGCATACTTGCTGGGTTGTCCATTCAGAAATAGGTCTACTGTGCCATTGATTTTGTTTTCCCGTTGTTGCAAATTCATCATCTAATGCCTAACCAATCGAGAAAAGTCAACGTAAGTAAAAACAAAAAATCTCTGTTTTACTTTACTATGTGTTGCATTTAGGTTGCAGGCTGAGTCGGGGTAACAAATGAATGTTTAAACATATTGCAGCACTTCCATAGCGCAAAGCTCAAAAATTACTTTTAAAATCATGGCTTTACAGTGAGTTTGTCTGGAGTTTTATAATAAAAAAAGTGAACACTACAACAACACTTGACACAAATTAAGGCAGAAATACAGAACATAAGTGATTTTACGGTTTTCTCTAGGAAATATGATCTTCACGAAACCTGTTCTCACAAAATGGCAGAAGTTTTGCTTGCACCTGGCTTAATATATCCAAAACAATAAACAAGCTCAATCCCCATAGTACCCCAGCTAATCTCATCACACCAATGTTTTAAAGGGTCTATCTAGTAAAAGTGCTTTTGAGAAGCCTCAGAGCTTGTAACAATCCACTAAAAATATACTTCCTAGTTCACAGAGCTTTTGAAGTTTTCTGCTTCAGTTTCAGTTGGCCTCCAAGGGGAAGAGGACTACCTGCTGTTAGTCCTAAATCACTTCATTACTTCATCATAAAAGAAAAATCTTACTTAAAAACAGAGTTTAATGTCTGAAAAGAAGAAATTCGGGTGCGAGAGTTGAATCAGAGTAACATTAGATTTGCTTGAACCTTTATTTGCTGTCCAAAATGACCCCTCATTAGTTCATGGTCCAGTACATGCTGCATTGGATTTAAAGGCTCTTAAGGCAGCTTCTCCTATACATCAAATATATTTGCAAAACATATACTAACCCAGAAGTATCCTACTGCTCCCAGTGAGCTTAATGCATATCATTTGTATAGAGGAAAACATAAGAGTCAATTTACTGATGGAGTTGAGAAGTAACCTTGCAAGTTTCAAGTGAGCAATTAAAGCTCCAAAATCCAAGTATCTCTCAAAATCCATCTCCCCTGCCAGAAAACATGGGAGAATTCTTTGAGTACACCTCATTAATTCCAGTGATTACATGTAAAAGATTGAGACTTGTCCAATGTTACATGACTGCATGATTAACTAGTTTTGAGGGCAAAATGGAACAGTAAAGCATCTGAGTTGAAATGAACATCAAATTTCAAATGTCAGTAGACCACACAATTAGAATCCATTTTTGCTTTTCCTAGTCCATGAAGCAGAGGACAACAGTTACATTATGAGCTAGTACAGATGAATACAAACAGATTTGTACAACAGATACAACAGTTTGTGCTGAGGTCCTGAAATCCATACCATATGCCTTCCAAGTAAGCTTTTCCTTCAGAAGTGCCATGGACTAGTCCAACAGATTCAATGCCTATTAGCAGCTGAAACGTATTATGTGTATTTTCAGAGCACCTCGGTCCGATTTCCAAGATAAAATCAAACTCAGGTTAAGGGGGGGGACAATGAGGAGATTCTGAAGTGAACTCCTAATACAAATTAGAATTTCAGTGTGGACAAGCGTGAACACACCCAAATTGCTGATGCATTAAAGAACAGAAAAATCCACAAAATATCAAAGAGGGTTCCCAGAATTACACCGAATCACAGAATGGCTGAGGTTGGAAGAGATCTTTAAGGATCATCTAGTCCAGCTCTGCTCAAGCAGGCTCATCCGGCTACTGGGCATATTCCAGAATAGCCAAGCCCTGGGTGCTACCGACTTCTAGCTGACACCTCCCCAATCATCCAAGATTCTCCACTAACGAGATACAGCTTCTTTCCAGCCTCCAAAGTATGACAAGAAGCCAGGAGGCCTTTAACACTGCCTGGTGGACCTTTAACACTAAAAAGGGCTTGTTAGCATTATATCCACTGCTTGGTGGTATTTCTTTTAAGTAAACAGTAATATTTTTAAAAGACAACCTAACCCATTCATTGTTTAAAGTTAATACCAGAAAAAATAGTACCAAAAACTGAATCTGCATTAAAAGACTTAAGCACCATCTCCTCACAAAAGTGAAGAAAAAGACTTAATCCCACATGATTTGAATTTCACACTATTGTGCAAAGAGAAAAATAATGTAGTTTTAACTATTTTTAGGAATAAGCCATTTTTCTAATCTAATAAAGATGAAAGTGTGAGAAATGTCATTAAGAGACTATAACCAGAATTTACTTCCTAGGCTTTCTCACACTTCTTCATTGATTTAGCATAATATCAAACTCAAGAAAGTTAATGTAACATCATTCCCACTTCAATTCACAACTGCTATGAAAAATTGAGACAGATATTTAGCATTTCTCTCTCAGAACAATCGAATTTAGTAGATTCAATGCTGGAAAAGGATGCAGTTTCAAAATAATACCATTTATTCAAGTGCTATTTCTGGAAAACTACATTATTGTTAGAAGATTCACAAATAACTATACCAATCGGTGCCAACCTTATCTCCACTAAGTAGAAAACAGCTTACAGGGTAGACAGACTTTTACTTTATGAAAAATGCATACAAGTGAGATGAACATGGATTTTTAAGTGATTCTTATTGATCATAACACCCAGACATCCTTTTTTTTTTTTCCAAGCTTCCTTCCAGAATCAAAAAGGTGTCCCATGATGTTTGCACCAAGTCCCTGAATAGTCTCCAAAGCACCCACCACATGCACAAACAAGAAATCAATCCTGAATTTAGAAAGCAGAACTAAAACCACCTAGGAAGAACGGAAACATGAGGCAATAATGTACTCCCACATAGAAATGCTGGCACTTCAGAGAGCAAGTAAGGACAGAGATACTGAAGGCTCTAAATACACAATCAAAAAACCACCACCATCAGCACCAAATGCTCCTGTACCAGTAACAGATTCCAACACTTGGAAAGGATTGCCCGGAGGCAGCAGAGCACAGCCTGCTCCGCTCCCCGGATGCGCTGCCATCCCCAGGACTCGCAGGGCAGCTCTGGGCTGTGCACAAGCACCTTCCTCCTGCAGCAGCTGCTCTAACCCGGAGGAATGGGGGTTGTTACACTGGCTAGCTGGACCCTGAGGCGTATTTTTGAAACTATGCAAATAATAAATATGGGGTAGAAATTCTGCCTGTGAAGGGGTCATTAAATTAGGAATTTTAAATATCCAAAAATGACCCTAGGAACGTTCCAAAACTGTATAATTGAAGCTTAGAGAAAAAAGGTAATCAAATAGCATCACAAGAATTTTAAGAGTCAGTTAGGAATAATTCAGAAGTAATTACTTCACCTTAGCCCACCTCCATAGCTCCCGAATGCACAAGCAGAGAACAAGTTAATACCACTTCCTCACAAAATGCTTCACCATCTCCACTCACAGCTTTAAAAACTGCCAAGTACAAGCAAACATGCTCTAAAACAACCTACCTTCCTCTCCTCCAAGGACAACCTGGCTTTAGCCAAACACACTTCCCTCCCAGAAAGAAGAACAAGCTCAGCCTTTATTATCACCCCAAACAGATGCAGATAATCACCATAATTACTAAAAAGCTGCAAACAATTTTCATTGCTCATATATACAACCAATAAAAAGGCAAGCTAGAGACAACACTAAAGTCAAACTAGTCTATGACAAACTAGGCTGGACCATGACTTCACACACACACACGCACAGTTAGTAACAGACATGGCTTTTCCTGGAATTCTAGAACTAGTGGGTGAGTGGAAGCTGCAATACTTGGGAAAGAGGGGCATTAGAGGGAATATTTAGCTTTGTTAGTACCTTATGATTTATACTGCTTGGAAGTTTTAGCAATACAAATACCCTTCAGAGCTTGATTTAAGATACCTGATAATAAACATAACTCATTCATGAACCACCTTTTTTTTTTCCCCCCCCCAAAACATTATCACTACCAGCTTGACCAGTTCCTTGTTACCTCATTTCTGGAATGACAGTGCTCAGCTCTTAATGACCCCTCCTAGGCAATAAAGCATTTCATTTATAAAGATGCCTACCTGACAGATTGTCAGATTGCCTGAGACAATGATCTGAGAATGTCATAAAAATATGGATTTCAGGTTTCAGCTGAGGGCAAGGAAGATGGTTCTGCCAGGAGAACAAACCCTGATTTTTCAAATATCTATTCTATGTCAGAACAACTTTCTGCTGACAGTGATTTTTTTTAAGACAAATAACACATACTTAGGTTAACACAAACATGCACCTATGTGAAGGCAAGGTGAAAAACACTGTAGCATTCATTCACACAGTAAGTTACTTCAGTAACAAAAGCATCTTACATTAAGCATTGCAATTTGATCGCACCGAATTTATTCTGATTTTTAAGATATAACTAAAGCAGAACACAAAAGCTCATATGGCATCTTTTATTCCATGTGCTTAATTCAGAGTGACAGCCTTGGATTTTTGACCATGTTCTTCAACACAAAAATATGGTAATGCCCATCCAGTTTCACATTAAACAACGTGTGCTCTACCAATCAAATGCAATGTGAACAACACCACCAACAAGACACATATACACACTTTGAAACTCACCTCATTTGAAGAGAAGGTTAAAGTGTGTGAACGACCTGACAGGTTTGGTTCTGTCACTAACCCTGAAAGTTCACAACTTGGCTTGCTATGGTATGTATCATCTATGACAATTCTACTCTGCAAACAAGTGGAAATAACGTTGTATTAACTCACCCCCTTGCAAAAGCAGACCATCAGGTGACATTCCAGTTCACTTTTGGTAAAAATAAATAAATAAAATAATAATACTATTCATTCTTCTTTAGATCACACACGAAACAATCTTTATATGAAGTCTGTTTTTTTTTTCCTTTTTTAATTTTTCTCAATTTACAAATATGACAACAAATTTGAAGCAATATCCCCAATGGCACCTTGTGTGGAGCATCAGTATTAACCTGAAGTTGTGCAAAAGTAAATAAACAAATACAGCGGGTTAGGCTTTCAACAGGCTTACCACACGCACAGTGAAGCAACTTAAGGTTCAGCTGGTGGAATCATTCATGTGGAGTTTGTGTTCAACTGAAACTAGCACACAAGCACTTCAAAACATGCTTCAAAGGAGCTGTTCTGGCAGTGCGATAAAAATCCAGTTCTGGATCTTTTATGGTCATTAACATTCTCTTGACACAGATACTACTTTGAGAAATTTCTCAAAGTTGGAACGAGGGTTAGACTTTGCATTCGTCCACAACTCCAGTGACTGCAATGGCCTGTGCAGCCAACGGGCTGACAGGTATTGAAAACTGGAAGAGCAAGGAGCTTTAAGCAGCTTGCAGCTCAGGGCTTAAATTAATTAGTTCAGGTGCAGAAGAGTTTGCCTACACACAGAAGCCAAGAGCTCCCTCTGAAATTTAAATTCTGATTTAAGATACTGTACTGCATTGCTATATAGATTCAAGACATAAGAGTCATGCTTACCAGAAACTATGTTAATAGGAGAAATGGATGTATTTGACATTTAAATAGTATTTTTTTTTAAAAAAATATACATTTAACATTTAACTGTCTAAAACGTGCATGTAACGTAAATTTCGGGTGAGAAATACAACTAATATAAATACTATCTACCACATTGGAAAAATGTTAAAATCTTCATAGAATTTACTGTTTATAATTAGTTATACACTCAGTTTGTGTTTTAAGGAAGCAACCAGATCCGTGTGCCTTGGCATCTAAAAGGAGAAGCATCTGGGTTCTAACTTAGCCAGCTGCCACTAATCCTATGACCTCAGGCAAATCATCAGAGCAGCCTGTGACTCATTTACTCTTAGCTGTGAAAGCTCATGAACCCTCCCTATTTTCCTCCTCCCCCCTGCAATAAAACAGAAGCTGCACCTGAAAGCATCAGGTTAAGTCTGATAAGAAAACAGAAACTGCCTGAGAAACACAGCACCTTCGAGAAACAGCAGGTGAACTGGCTTTAAAGAGAGCAAAATGTCTCTTCACAATTCTCTTTTTTATTAAAATATCAATCAAACAACAACACAACAAAAACCCCACAGGAATTCCCTGAAGTATACAACCAAATGCAATCATTGCACTTTGCATTCTTTTGACTTAAAAGGTAAAGTAGTTGCATATCTGCTAATCTATGTTGCAAGAGAAAATGCTTCAGATAAATGCTACCATATCTATATTTGATGGCATATTTTCTAATCTGGCTACCTCAGCCTCCAGCTCAGACCCTGGCCTCCATGCTATTTATCTTCAATCATGAAAAACACTTCTGTCAGAAGCTTGTCTTGTACTTTTTTTTCTTCCAGTCACTCTCCATTGGCTCTTCTTACCCTTAAGAGTAATTGGGAACAATAAAAGAAGCAAAACCATATAGGACAAGTGGAACTATTTAGTAAAATCCGAGAAAAACTATTAAGAACATCCAAACAAAATAAAGCTTCTCAACCCAAGTTGCAACTCACATTGTGTATGTAACATGTGGTCAATGTATTACATCACAGTATATTTCATTGCAACATGATGTTGATAGAAATGTGTGTGAAATATGCGTGTGGTGGGCAAAAGTCGAAGAGCTCCCTTCAAATACAGAATATAATCTTATAAAAGACAACTAATGCTCTGGAAAACAATGAATGTGAACAGTATATGCACATTTGTACTGTACCAGAGAAAAGGGCAGATTAAGTTAGGGGACCTATTTAAGGACTGTAATTTACCAATCCCATAAGACTTAACAGTTGCAAACCCTCAGGTCAGGTCTTCTTCTGTTTCTACTTTTCTCAAGCAACAAGAAGTTGATTCATTACTTCACAAATTTTTAAATTCACAAATTCACTTTCAATTTTTGAAAACTAACTTCAGTAGAATTTTAAGAAAACAAAATTGTCATGGATACAGGCTTTTTGAGAGGTAAATTTTGTAGGTACAGAAAATAATATAATTAAAGTCCTCACACCATCAGTATTAGAGCATAGCTCAGAAGTTACACACAATGCCTCAGTGCAAAGGAGATTTTTACATGAAAAAAGGTCTTGTTTCAGGGCTTCTACTTACATTCACTCTTTAAAGCTTTCACCTGATCATATGGGATACTACAGTCACAAGTGCAATAAGTATTATTGAACTACCATTGGCTAAAATAAATAAGTTTCCCTTAAATTCTGGAAATATGATTTTGTCCCATTACGCTGTTTTAGTAATAGTGCTCATTGCTGGACAGTCAGCCTCTTTTCTTTTGCATTTTTAGTGTTCTATCACAGTGAGTTTACCTGCAAAAGCCTTGTTACTATAATGCAAACTTACTGATCAGCTAAGTACAAAGATTAGTCACTGACTGGAGCAGTAACAGCTGTTGCATTCCCAGCTATAACAAAAGCCCCAAACGTTGCAGTAACAACAGTCTGACCTTGGAGAGGAGGAGAGAGGCAGAGTGTGAGTTTGTGATCAAGTAGTGTGTGAGAACCTGTTAAAGATTCAGGGTCAGCTTTCTACCACTTTGCAAAGCAGCCAGATACCTGAAGACTACTGTATCCTTCCAGCTGCTAGTTTGCAACTGGCACTAAAGCAAAGAAAAGAACAGCAAGCAGCAATTACATACAGAAGCATGAGAGGGAAGCAAGAAATAAAAGTGGGCAAGAAACCAGCTGGAAGGTTAAAGTGATGATCAGCTTGGATAAAACATACAAAGAGGACAGAGAAAAGAGTATTATTTCAGGATAACATGGAAAGGCAAAGAGAGGACACAAACATGTAAGAATTTCTTTTTTAAATGGCTGACAAAAGCATCTATATAAACACAGAAAGGATGCTTGTGCACATTGCAGGTGTTTATAGTAGTAATGTAGCAGTGGGACTTCCACTATCCTCTAAACAATTATTTTAACCGGACAGACAGAGGAACGAAGAAGATAACAACAGGTTCTCCTGAACCAGCAGCTTTTTGAAAACTAAGCCACCAAATGTCTTATCTACACAACAAGCATTTCTCAATGGCTTTGCTACAGCCTCTAAAGGGATCAGCTACTCACTCCTATTTCATTAGAAATATGTCCCCAAATATATGCATATTCCCTTCACCATGGGTCATGCAATCTTCAAATCACTGGCCCATTTAGGGATGCCTCTTTTGGCCACTACATGCTTGGACACGGAAGATGGAGAAACTAAATGCACAAAAGTCACACAGACTTAACAGTATTTTGTAGAGTAGAGTTCTTCGTAAGGGATTAAGTTTTTTCTACATTTCTGAAGCTGTTATAGTAAGTTATTGGATAGTTCTAACACCACTTAAGAGTATTTTTTGTAAATTTTCAAAGCACTATGTATACAGCCATCTTAATTCTGTAACAACCATCGTAAATGCACGTTAAGAAAACAGAAAGCAATTTTTTTAAACAGCATTTTAGTACAACCAGCATCTGGAAGCATGGAAAACCAGCTCACTTATCTACTAGCTTTGTAAAATATCAGCCAACGGTGCCTGGCAAAATCTCCCTTCTAGATAAGCTTCATAGCTCTTTCTAATAATACAAAGCAAGATTAATTTAAAAAAAAAAGTATTTCAGAAAAAGAACAAAAAGTGAAAATTAAGTGAAAATTAACAAACTTAGTTTGGGAGGTTTCTAAGACTGACTTAATTTTCATTCTAACAAAATCCAAAGAAAACAAGAGTGACAAAAACAGTTTTAAGTGGAACTAGTTTTTAACAAATTATTTAGCCAGCCCAAGCATTGTTTGATGGCACTTTTACTTAAACTTTAATCTTAGATCTGTCAACAGGTAAATGAAACATCATATATGGTTTCATTAAACTTGTTACCTCTCACAGACACTTTTTCCGAATACTTTGAACTGTTAAGATGGCAAACTTATGGTTGTATATTGAATTGTTTAGCATTGCTTTTAAAAAATTAGTTAAAAAGTCTTCAGCCTATTAAAACATTAGCAGATACTCAAAAACAATTTTTAGTAGAGTTCTAACCATGCTCCTCTCAGTTTTCAATACCAGTTCCTCTAAGGAAAAACCAGGATGCTTTCTTCATCCACATAGCTGGTACTCCAGCCTAGGACCACTACAGTAAGAACTGGTTGGCCAACTGCCTGGGGAGCTGATCTCTATCCAAGCATAGTCTAAGTATAAGACATTGCTATAATGTTCACAAGGCAAAATGATTTGGATTTTAAAAATTATATTTCCTAAAGCTAGCATTGCTTTTAGAAACCAAAATCACCACCCTCCCCAAACCCACAGTGTGATCGTTGCACTGATGCCTAAACTAAGTGGGAGAGAATGGAGCACTCTCATAACCTCTAGTTCTGAGGTGGTAACTCCTGCCAGAAGGGTGGTAAAGACACGAAATTCTGCAGCCATGTTTGTAAAAGGTGATGTGATCAGGGATCAAGTCGTCAGTTACAAGTGCAAGATGCCACACATTTAAAAAGTCAAAACAGAAGTTATTCATCTTACCTTGCTTTTGTTCTTCTCTTGACCCTGTTCAAATATGCTGTCCTGCCCACTTTGAGTAAAATGCAGGCTGCTACTAGACACATGTGGCTCTTTGTGACTGTCTCCAAACCAAGAAAAAGGCATGCAGGTGGGTACAGGAGAATCCGAATCGGATGCAGATAAATTGTTGCCAGAGTCATCTAACAGTTCTCTGGAACCTCTGAAATAAACAGATTTATCTATTATGAGGATTAAATCTATTATGAGGATTAAAAAATCCTCATTGTACATATTTCAGGGCACAGGTGATTTTTAAAATGAAAATTGATATTTGCTTTCAAATACACAAAAGATATTTTAGAACTTTGCTGCCGTTATACTTAGATGTACTTTAAGGTCATGAAGCAATTTTAATTTCAAAGAAGCTTTATGGTTTAAAATTACAACAATGCAATATGTATTTATTAAAAAACAACAACAAAAAAACCTACCTGCTATCCAGAGAACCTCTGAGATTTTCTTTTTCTTGTTTCTTGCCCTTGCCCCCAGATTTCCGTAATCCTCTAAAGTGGAAAAACACCATTTACATTTAGAGTGACATTTTTGTCAGCAAAATAAACATACCTTTTTTAAAAAATCAGTTTCAATACTTACAAAATGCCCTGTTCTTTTATGGATAAATTACAGATTATGCATGTAATTGAAGGTGTATCATTATTCATATTTCACTTAAAAATTACGGAAGAATTATGAAAATACCCTTGAAAAAGCACATATAATCAAAATAAATACAAAAAGCATCCATATAAGACTAATATCCAGTGGATATTTCAAAAGAAAGAATGCAGTCTTACTGCTATATAAATGGGTGTATATAGAATGACTTGAACTAAAAGAAAAGAAGAATAACAACTTCTTTATACATTAAATAAGTTAATTATCCTCTTTGCACTATATGATTTATTATCGCATCAGCGATAATAAATTGCAGCAGGGTAGATTCAGTTAGATATTAGGAACAATTTCCACACAGAAGGAATAGTCAAGAATTGGAATAGAGTACCCAGGGAGGTGGTGGCACCACCCTCCTTGCCGGCTTTGATGAGACCTGTAGATGAGGCACTCGCTGACGTGGTTTGCCAGGCACGCTGCTTCATGGTTCATGGTTGAACTCCATCTTTAATGTCTTTTCCAACCATAATGATTTATGCTTCTATGATTAGGAACCCAAGAAAGAACTCTGTGATGCGGTATTGCTATCAAGTAGGCTAACGGGACTTCCTCAACAGTTTTCATTCAGAGCACATGTGAATCTCCAACAAGTAAAACTGAAAGCCCTGTATTTTTCAACAAACAAACAGTATCTTACCCAAAATCTGGAAATCGCCTTTTAGACTTCCCTGATGAAGTTCCTTCATTTGTTTCCATAGTCTTGTCTTCATTTTTCTTATCTTCTGCTTTTTCTAGATGGGTGGAAAGAAATTGTTAAACGGAAATAACTGAAAGTTCCAAGTATTCTCAAAGAAGTACAGATGCTTCGAAGCGAATAAGAGAACTTGAGTTTACATTCACATTCACGCTTGCTGATGCTGACTGATAATACTACAGCTGCATATATCTAAGTGATTCTCTCTGACATCTTCCCCTCTATGTAACATTTTACTTGAATGGGTTACACTAAAACATGGCTTAAGCTGGTTTTTGATTTAAGCATCTTTCTTCTGCAAAAAGTAAGCTTTAAAATACATTATCTAGCACAAGATCAATAAAAGAAGTTCATTTTTAAAGCAACTTTCAAAAATACAGCATTTAGTATCAAGGTATATTAAGCTTTTCCCTGTTGCCTTTCCCTCAGTCTGGTCCAAAGCTAGTCTATGCTACTTAGTTGGAATATGCCTTACACACGTGCACTGTCAGTTACTGCCTGAGTGCCTGAGCAACACGACAGTGGTGCCTGGATAGCAGACAGTAAGTTTAACAGGCCGAGTTTCTTTGGAAGTAGCATACGAACTTTGAGTATTCCAAAGGAACAGAAATCTACACGCCAGGTCCCAATTATTAGACCTTTTAGTCTTAAGTTGACAGAAACATTCATTCCAAGGTGCTGCAAATTTCCGACATGTCTGAGATTTCTCCAAGATTGCTGTATTCACAAAACTGGAAAACCACCTGCTAGGATCCAGCTATTCACCAGGGGGAGTGTGTTCAACTCCAACTGTTCAATAATTAAGTGGCCAACTGGAATTGCCTGGAATTAGGTGTTTCAGGTGACATCTAAGGAAAAGCATACTGCAGAGCTCTTTCATAGGCAAAGCACATTTTAGGCTTAGTCTTCAAGAAAAGAGAACATTTCTGAAATGAGGGAAGTTGCATGCATACACTGCCTTCAGGGATCTTAAAAACTGCAAATCAGGGTCTACCACACAAGACTCCACCCTACCTGCCACGTGGCTTCTTGAAGCACACAATGATTACCTCAATGTTTACATGCTAAATATTCGGGATTTTTTCCTCACCTTTTGTTTTCTTTCTTCTCCCATCAGTAGTGGGACAATAGAACTAACAGCAGAACTTCATTCAAATACTTAATTTTGCCAAGTACTTAACATTTAAAAAAACAGATCTACCAGTTAAACAGGCTATTCTTCCTGTAAGCTTACATGCAGGACACAAGTGTTAATATTGACTTTTGCTTCCTCCTCTGTCTCCAGAGGTAAAACTTTAAAAATATCTACTTAGAAGTGGGTCTAGTTTTAACATACTTCAGAAATGTTCAAAAATCATTCAAATCATAGTCTCAAGGTCTGACTAATTATTGCCATTATCATTTTCTCTTCTAAACCATTTTAAACGCCTTGCTCCTTTTACTACAGCTAACGCAAACTCACCTAATTACAAAGTATTGAATTAATCATCATGACCAACTAAAAGAATGAGCAAAAGTAGGAGGAATAAGTATCTTTTTGGCGCTTGGATGACAGTTTTATCTCACTGTATGCCTGCATGCAGTCACACACAAGCTGGGGTGCTGCAATCTAGAGTCAGCCATTGCAGACTCTTCAGTCATCTGTCTGCTGTGCCAATGCTGGAAAACATGTAGCTGCTTCTATTCCTTTATTTGACACACTGTCAACATACATGTGTGCCTCTCTGTGAAAGGCTGAGTTTGAGACAGTATCACTACTTTTCTTTGAGAAGTTGCCTGTACCTGGTCATTTGTTTCTAAATTACAAAATAAAAACTGTTGTTGTGGGTTATAAGTCTTTTCTAAGCATTTTGTATCATATTAGGAACAAACAAGTTTATTTCCCGAAGAGTTTACAAATGGTCTTAAAACAGATAACTAATTTTGTAACCAATTCGTTTTCCTGCTTCCTAAGGAGTTTATTGTTTAATAATCCCTTATATCTAAACTCAGCAATAATTGGACTGTGAAGGATTAAAAATAAAAAACAAAAACCACAAACAAAAGCAAAAACCCTTTAAGTCTTACCCTTGGCCTCTTTTCCTTTCCCCTTTGCTTCTCTTTGCTTAACATTCACGGGAAAGCCTTGAGGAGAACTTGGGACAATCTCTTCTGAAGGAGGTGACTGTGTGCTGCTTGTGCCACTTCCGTTGTTTGCTTTGTGTACTGGGGACGACTGGGTGGAAGCAGAAGGGCTTGACTCTAAAGGACTTTCTGTGCTTTCTGCTGGCTCGGGCTTTTCACTCTTTTGATCTAGGTCATCCACCCGGGAGAGAGTTAACTTTTCAGTTATCTCTAAGGTCTTGCCTAGGTACATGGCAGAAGGCTCTCTGTTGTGAACAGTATCTTCTGAATCCTCATCCTTGAAAAAATTATGCAAACACAACATGTAATCACTGACTTTACTATCTGATCTTTATGTTATACCAGACACAAACTCCCTCAATTCAAAACCAAAGCAAATAGACTGAAGTTTAAGCATGCACTGTTATCATCTAAATAACACGGACTCGTTTTTATTTCCTTTATCCACCCCCTATTCCAGATCTTTTTGTACATCCCAAATATTATTTCTTTAACTGATCAAGAAACATTCTGTTACTCCGTGGTCATCCCAATTCAATGAAGCCACTTTTAAAAATCCTTTCAGTCCAACTAAAGTAGTTCAATCTTTTCACTCTGACACAGTCTTTCTTATACACTGGTTATACACATCAGTTCCTCACTTTCTGCACCAAAGATCTTACTCTCACCTTAAAAACTCTGCAAGACTGCATATGACCATTAAATCAGTTAAATTTTTATTTCTCTCTTACTTGCTTCACTAAAGAAACCTAATATCTCAAGTCCAGAACCTGCTTCTATTAAGAATTTCATGGGCTGCAAGACCATACTTTGCATAAAGACTTCATCAAGCTGGTAATATATTGTTGACAAAGCAATAATTTGTTATGGAGGACTGCCACTTTAATGGAGAATACAGACATGAATCTTAACATCATCTTACACTAGTGAAAATTAGGAGTAGCCACAAGCTAACTTACTAACTTCTAGATTTTTCAACCAGGGAGAGATTGTTGCAATGCATTTCTATGAAAATAAAGGCAGGATCAACAACTCATAATGTGGCACAATGTAAACAATGTTGCCAATTTAATTTTAAAAAAGGAGTAAAAAAAAAAGGCAAGGACCTGAAAGATAAGTTAGGAATAAAATTCCAGGTAAATTAATTTTAAGGGAATTCAGCCTCTAGAGCAGGAGTCTAGAGCAAAAAGTGGACTCAGACACATGGAAAGGAATGCGGCCACAGTGAAAAATAAAGCAGTGGTTGGTACTGACTCTTGCTTCGATATCTTTTGCTTCACGCTGCTAACAAAGGTCTGAGTGCTTTGGAACTTATGCTCGTTTCAAGAAAGGCTAATTATGGTTCGGCAGCCTCCTCTCTGAAGTAATATTTAGAGATTTTTTTCTCTGCTACTACATGCAGAGATACAAGAAGATTTTCATCAGTAGAAAAAAGATGCTTAGAATAGTCAACCAACATATGAATAAATATGAAAAAATTTACCACAGTTAGATTTTATCAGTGAAAACATAAACGTAGAAAAAAAGACAAAGATTCTTTCAATCAGTAGGAAGAATACAGCAAACACATACTTTTTTGGTCACTTCAAGTTAACCATTTCATTCACAAAGACCGTGTCAGAAAACATATAAGTGGTATGTACCCGAATAGCTTTTCGCTTGACAAAGCATAAAATCTGAAACCTTCTCACAATCTAAACAAAGCATAGGCAACACTTAAAATTGTGAATATAAATAAAAATGAATATATAGTCAGGCTCCTAGATGTACAGTTATCTACTGTTACCTGTAAGTTTAAAATCTGTTGTCCAGCCCCAAGAGTCTCCTTCAGCTTTGATCGAGACGGTGGCTGGCGTTTGACTTTCAAAGCAAGCTGAGCTTTTGCTTTGTGGGCACTGGTGTCTAATCTGGGAATATCTCCAACAAAAGCATCAAAATCTGTAACAAATATATACTCCTTAAAAAAACCAGATAACTCATTGCCTGGAAATATCTTCAAAATTTAAAGCAGAATCACTTCAGCTCTTATTATATGGTCTTATGTTAAAATTTTATATACTAAAGTGATAAAAACTTTCCAATTAGAATTAAATTTCCAACCATTTTCTTCAAATTTAAGAATATAAATCCTTCAGGATATAATTGCATTGTGACTTAAAAACTGAAATCTCACATAGATGAGAATGTGTACCTAGAATATGCTTTCCTATCCTTGTTCCTTAAGCAAATCAACTCTCTTGAAAAAGTACTTAAGCACCTACTGAATCTTTTTAGAGAATGCTTATTTGATCTACCAGTTGAGAACATTCCGAGCATAAAATTGCCATAATACTTAAAGTCCACAGTGGCTCAGGCTGCCATTTATCTAGTCAGCAAGAAACAGTAGGCACCTACTTTTTCTTTTTTTTCAATCTTTTTCTTCTTTTAACACCACACACAGACTCCTATTATTTTTTTTTTAATCAAATGTAAATCAAATATACTATACCTATTGTCAACTTACCAGAAATTAACATATCTGTGGAATCTAACCTTTCCTCTACTGCATTTGTTTCTTGTTCTTCTCTTATCTTTGAGGAGTCATTCAGTTGGCCTGTGTTTTGACAGGCATCTGCCAATTCACTGCCACTTCCAAACATATACGGCACTTTTTCATATATTTTTAGTTTGTTTTCAAGCTCCGAAATCTACAACAGATAAAATTCAAAAGTCAGATACCACTTTCCAAGAACACAGAAGTTGATTTAAAAAAAATAATATAGCCTTACTTTTTCCTGATACATTTTCAGCTGTTCCGCATATTTCTGGTCTCTCTCTTCAAGCATCCTTGAATGATCCTCCTCTTTTTTCATAAATTCTACTTCTCTGGTGAGAGAAATATATGCAGCTGAATTTCAGTAATAAAATGCTCTTTACTAGTAAGGATATTGAAAAAAAATATTTGAGCTATAACAAGTATGATTTCTTAAGATTATAACTTTACCATATGATCAATGTGTTTTTATGTTTTTACTCCCTTATAAAAATACAATTAAGATGCTATAATTTACTGAAAAAAAACGTGTTGCAACACTTTTCTACAAAATTACATCTATCCATACTTCTACATCAGATGTACACTGGATGCTAAATATTAGATCTTACTCACTTCTACAAAGATAAACACAGACACAATGTGCTACTGGCAAAAATAGTGTTTTCATTCCAAAAGCTATGGCCAAATTCTTAGTAGAAAACTAATAGGACGCTACTGAACTATTTGCCTTACTAAGGAGGAACTGAGGTAAAGATGTTAGAGCTGAAATCTCAACAAAACCATGCGTAATCCTGACTCTCAACCTCTGATGGTTTGAGAAGGATATTCAGTCTCTCTATCGTAACTCTAGGATTGATGTTAGTTCTTCTCATTATATAAAAAAAATCCAAGCAAGAAATGGAGACTTACAATTTTGGGATACTTACTTTTGCTGGTAATCTTTGAGCAGTTTTTTGGCCTTGCAGTACTTTTTTTCAAGGGAATCACACTGCTCCTGGGTTTCTTTAAGATGCTCATTTACTGTTTTACATAAACTCTGTGCCTCTAACCAGTAGGTTTCCAACTTCTTAATTTTCTCTTTGTTTTCTTCTATGTTTTGCTGAAGTTGCGCTCGACTTGATTCCCATTCATTTTTTTCTGATTCAACAACTTTTAACTGAAAAGAAAACATTAATACTTAAGGAATTAATCTAAACTAAAGACTGTAATCCAATTAGTTATTTATACATGTTTATGTAGAAAATAGTTAATAAGTTAATAATAATTAAATACTTTATCAGTAATATTAAAGCTGAAGTTTTATCTGTGGAGACAGATGATACCAATCCCGTAGAAAAACTAACCAGGAATCATTGCTCCCCTCTTCTTCCAACTAATGAAATAGGTAATGAATTAGATTGTTGCTTAAGAATACAGCCTTTTCTTCCTCTTTACCATTTGCTGTTATCAGATATACTATTACGATATTATGTTGTCTCAATGCCCAGTAACACAAAACCAAGGTCACAGCAAGACTGAAATTCAGGTGCATGTTTCTTTCCACTAACATCAGCAGGTATGCAACTGGAACATTCTGTTCTTCATTAAAATATTATAAGCAGTTTTGTCTCTGATTAAAAACACAAACTCTTCCCAGTTTTTCTTCAGCCATGTTAAAATTTTAAAATTTAATAAAAGCAGAAGCATCTCCCACCTCGAAAACCATGTGCTTACTAGATTAGCTAAGGCTGTCCAATTGCCAGGTAAGGCTCTTGACCTTGTAGCAGTGTCATCTGCACACGTGACATTCATTTCCCAGCTATAGTTGGGCTGTTCTGCAGAGAAAAACCAAGTGGCCCAAACTCTCCAGAACAGCTTCTTCCACATATTGTTACTATATTTCTCCATGATGTGGTTTCTTTAAGTATCTCTTCAGTATTTACTTCCTCTAATGCACATGTACTCTGTGCATGTGTATATATATATATTAAAAAAAGGAAAGAAAAAAAGTTCTGTCACAAAGGATGCAAAGTGGGTGGGGGGCCCTCAATTCCTTTTCCAAACAACATCTGAGTCAACAAGCACAAAAAGGCAGCTAAGCAGCAAATACCTGTGGATAATTAGAGTAAATAACAAAGCCTTTAAAATATTTGATTTTAGAGGAAATAGAGGCATTGAACTTGCGGTGAATGTGTGTTGAAAGACTGCAGATGGAAGTAATCTAGTTGTCTCAGTCCAATGGATGAAACTTCTGAGAACACCCACCTGAAGAATCTATTTCATCTAATAGATTCTTTGACTAATCATTCAGTTATCCAGATCATTTTATTAGCCGTGTTAGTACAGTATTTTACAGATTACAACATGATGTGATGACCAATATGTCAATCACAACAATGGGATTTGGGGTTTTCCAAAAACTGCTTTGTGGAAGCACGTTCTTCCACACATTAGAATGTTATTTTTCACATTATATTGGACACAATATGACCGAACATCTCAGCTTGCAGACAGTAAGTTCTACTTTCAAAAGCGACTGGAGATACGGAGATTTAACTTGCACCAGATGATTTTCCTGTCCTACTACTCTGCTACCAACAGCTTGCTGAGTAAAACAAAAGAGAACAGTTAGTCTTCCACAGTAGTCTCCCAGAGTAGTCTAATAAGACAAGAGCTTCCTCAAAATTTTATGACACACTTTGGTTTGCCTTCCTGGTGCTCATGAATGAAACATGAGCATTTCCTCACAACGGAAAGGGATGGGCCCCTTCGGTTTCTCAGCAAGCAGCATCATTATAAATGAGAATGTTAATGTATGTACAGTTCTCCTGGCCTCGGAGTGTGCAGACAGGATGCTGCTTAGTTAATCTATGCATCCTCCTTTGGGGACACTATTTACAAGGAGGAAATCATTGCTTCTGAAGCCAGACAAGATCATTTGCTGATGAAGCTAAAGTGTTGAGATTCAAGAATTTCTTGAATTAAAAGTGGGGCAATAAGTCGTACCAAAGTCATTAGTTTTAACAGTTTGTTACTTATCCAGCAGATCAAATTTCAAGAACACTGCAAGGAGAAGCACTATCAGAAGGCACGATCAGAAATATCATAGGAATGCAAAAAGGTTGTGGCTGCTTTGCCTGTCTACACCTGGAGGTGTGAAGCACCAGTTTGCAGAGTGCAGGAAAAACCCCAGCAGATACTGCTACTCTAAATGACTGCAATCTGAAGGACGAGGGGGCACACCCACCCACCCATGAAGAATCTGCTGCAACTTGTCTTAGGGTACAGATTGCTCAGCAAGGTAAAATGGAAGGGCAATAGAACAAAAGAAGCTGCTCACCTACAGCAAATAGTTCCAGAAAAATGCCATGCACAGATCTCCGTTAGTGGAAATGGCAACAAAAAGAACAATAAAGTCTTTCTCAGAGAAAACAGAAGTGAATAACTCACTTCAAAAGAAGCTGGAAAACATCTCTCCCTCCCCAAGAAGGTTAAAAACTAAGCGAGGAAAAGGGGGTGGGGAAAGGTGCTTTGATAGCAAAAAAATTATCTCAGGCACAAACCATTGCTTTTAAGTACAAAATCTATATTCAGATAAGGGGACCGACCTTCTGGAAAGCAGCTCTGCAGAGAAAGACCTGGGTGTCATGGTGGACGACAAGCTGACCATGAGGCAGCAGTGTGCCCTCGTGGCCAAGAAGGCCAATGGAATCCTGGGGTGCATTAAGAAGAGCATCTCCAGCAGGTCGAGGGAGGTGATCCTGCCCCTCTACTCAGCCCTGGTGAGGCCACATCTGAGGCCAGGATGGTGTTGGCCTCTTTTCAGTGGTGGCCACCGACAGAACTAGAGGAAATGGCCAGAAACTGAAGCATCAAAAGTTCCACAGGAACTTAAGAAAAAGTTTCTTAACAGTGAGGGTGACAGAGCCCTGGAACAGGCTGCCCAGAGAGGTTGTGGAGTCTCCTTCTCTGGAGATCTTCAAAACCCGCTTGGACGCAGTCCTGTGCCACGTGCTCTAGGTGACCCTGCGTGTGCAGGGGGTTGGACTAGATGATCTCTAGAGGTTCCTTCCAACCTTAAGCATTCTATGATTCTATGATAAGACAAGTTCTATCCATTGAAAATGTTATCATGTTTCTTCAGGATTTTGCTTCATACAATACTCAGCTCAGTTCTGCTCAATTCTGCTCTAAGCAGCAATATAGAAGCATTCATTTTGTATTACCACAGTGGGTTTTTTTCCTTCTATTCGATAAGTTTTCATAAATTGAAGAGCTGCAGTCTAGCATAACACGGTACATAGGGCCTGAAGCCTAAAGCAGATTGCTGTCAGTTTTCTGGTTCAACTTACACATGGCAAAATTCACAGAAATGAAAAATTCAGTAAATAAGATTTTTGGAAAACTAACCTTCTCCTTCAGTTGATTAACTTCAGCTGTTGTTACTGCATGCTTTAATTGTAGCTGAAACAAAAAAAGACTTTTGTGAAACACACCAACAAATGAATTGTTAAAGTACTTTGAATGCAATTCCTTTCTTTCTCAAGCCATTTTTACAGTAGCATAAAATCAATTCAATTATTTGTTAATTACAAAAGTGATAGAGACTTTACTAAAAGAACTAAATGACAGTTTAAGAAAGTCCACAGTATTTGATTTGCTACAGAAATCAATATGTGATCATCTAGAGTAAGAAAAACTGCACTCTTTTCTATATATTGAGAGGTTAAAATAAGGTTATAATGTGCAGGAGAACATAAAGGCAGTAATGCAGTTATGACAAAAAAGGTCCATAAAAGGGAGTAAAAGTTTAACAATATTGAATATTTTTGGTTTTTAAATTAGATGATATTTTGCACTACACTTCTAGAATTATTAGAGATGGATAAAGGCTACATCTAAGCCAAAGGTAAAGATGATTATTAACATGCCTTAAGAAAAACAGCACACATACAAGTGTTAAGCACGCTCCTTGACAACTGTTATTTCTTATGTTTGACTTTGTATCTGTAATTCTGGAAAAACAGGGTTTTTTGTTTTGTTTTGCTCAATGCATTGTGTACCAAATATACATTAAAACAAATGCGTTCATAAGTTAGAATGCTTCAGCTCCGGGTGCTGGAAGTCTAGGTGCCACATGACTTTTGGTCTGGCAGGATTTAGACACGTATTTCTTGTGTTCCTGAAGAAAGCAGGGCCATAGAGCTAGGGACCATTCAGAATGGGGATACTCACCTTCCTCCTCTATCTGCACCTAAAGCTATTTCACTTTGCTGCAAAAAGTGCAAGGTCCTATAGGCCAGCACAGAAATAAGAGAGACATCATGAACTATGGCATGCCATGTTCACAGATAGCAACACGGAGGAAGGTGGTCTTGAGTTCTAATGGCTCCTCCAAGCTTTTTTTAATTAAATCAAATGACCATTTCACATAAATTTGCATAGTGAAGCACGATTGAGAAAGTTAAAGAATATTTCAAAAGACATAAGAGTCCTTGCTGGTGATAATGCAAAAATAAGCCCCCAAAACACAAGAAGATGGACATGAAGGAGATTATACCAAATCTTGTAAGATTCAGATGATCTCCAAAACACCTCAAAGAATGTTTAAGAAAGTGTAACTGCACCTCTTTAAATTTAAGAAGAAACTGTGCCGAATCCATATCCAATGGTAAATTGATATCTTCATTTTCAGGAAGATCGAAAACTTCTACAGATTTTCCATGCAAATGTGACTCAAATGCATCTTCATCATCATCATAGTCATCATCCTGACAAAATGTAAAAACCATGACATCCTGTAACACACATGCTTCTCATCATGGTAGCAACAATGAAACAGCACACAACCAAGTAATCCAAACAGTTGCCAAGTTTTTTCTGGACTAGTTACTATTCCTTTTAGTTTCTTATACCTATAATGTATTTTAAAGTTGACTTGCAAACATTTTTCAGGCAGATTTCAAAAAAGACTCTTAAGTAAGCAATCGACAAAACAAGCTGACTGATTCTTAGAAATAACTTTTGAATTATTGAGAAGTCAGAAGCACAGCAAGAAGTGCCAATTATGTGCCTTGATAATGGTGACTTATAAAATTGTTATTTTCTGTTTTAATCAGGTTGTCTTATTCTTTTTCCAGAGGATCATATAATGGTTAATTTGGAAGAGACCTTTAAGATTATCTAGTCCTGCTCTCCCGTCTAGACTACTTTTGAGTATCTTCAAGGAGGGAGTCTCCACAACCTCTCTGAGCAACCTGTTTCAGTGTTCAGTCACCCTCACTGTATGAGTTTCTCCTCAGAGCTTTCTGTGTTTCTGTTTGTGTCCACTGCCCCTCAGCCTGTCACTGAGCACCACTGACAAGAGCCTGGCTCCATCTTCCTTACACCCTCCCTTCAGATACTTGAGTGCATTAGTGAGATCCCTGCTCAATCTTCTCTTCTCCAGGCTTAACTCTCAGCTGTCTCAGACTTTCCTCGTAAGAAAGATGTCCCAGTCCTTTAGCCATCTTATTGGGCCTTTGCTGCTCTCATTCCAGTAGCTCCATGTTTCTCTTGTCCTGGGGAGCCCAGCACTGGATATCGCACTCCAAGGGTGGCTCACCAGGGCTGACTAGGGGGAAAGATCAAGGACTATGTCCATCCACCTACTGGCAATGTTCTTCCTGATGCCGTCCAGGATATCACTGTCCCTCTTGGCCACAAGGGCACATTGCTGCTCACAGTCAACTTGTCCACCAGGACCCCCAAGTCCTTCTACACAAAGCTGCTTTCCAGCGTGTCAGCCCCCTGCAGGTATTGGTGCATGGAGTTATTCCTCCCTCAATGTCGGACACTGTACGTGCATTTATTGAACTTCATGATGTTCCTCTCTGCCCATTTCTCCAGCTTGTCGGAGTTTTCTCCCTGAACGGCAGTATAGTCCTCTGACCTATCAGCCACTCTTCCCAGTTTTGCATCATCAGCAGACTTGCTGATGCTTCAGACGGTTCCATCATCCAAGTCACGGACAAGTAAGTTAAACAGAATTGGATACAGTACCGACCCTGGGTTATACCACTGGTTACTGGCCTCCAGCTAGACCTTGCATCTTTTTACTCCAATTTGATTCAAAAAGCATTTATTCCATTTATAGAAGTTACTGCATACAGAGATGATCATCTACTTTATACAATATATAGGTAGTTTTGGCATTTTACCTGCTCTGTATCATCAGGAGCATAGTGTTGCTCATATAGACATCTCTCTTGCTCTAAAGTCTCACTAATGAGACGGGCTACTTCACTCTGAGTCCCTGGTTTCTCTCTTCCAATCAGAAACCTACAAAGAAAAAGTAAAATAAAAGTTATCTTGCAGCAAAAAGCTTAAGCCATACTTAAAAGATTATATCTCGCTACATCTTATCATCTTGCTACATCTCCATCTTACACCTTTGTAAAACTTTCAAATTATGTTTTCTTCATTAATGATAAATTATAATTTTTAAAAGGTAGCATTTGATAGAAGACATACATACCTTACTGTGCCTTTAGTGTTTTTTAGTACCGTGGCTGCGAAGAACTGAGTAACTCCCACTAGACTTATACCATCAACCTCAACAATTTGATCATTGACTTGAATTCTGCAAAATAAATAAATGTTTAGCCAGCAGTTCAACAAAAATATTTCAGCTTGACAGACTATTTCATATGGCAAACACCACCTGAAACTCTCTAGTATTTACAAGAAGGAAGCTTGGTTTTAAGCAATGAATTTTTGGAGACTCAGTCTTCTGATTTTCAGTTATGATCGCATATCACCTATAAGAATTTATATAGCATTTTTATGCCATTTACATATTGATTGGTGTCCTTGGCTGTCAGTAGGAACCTGTGGCAGCACTACAAATAGGCACATACTGAGCTTTTACTCCGCACATACATAGTATACCTACAGATCCAGTAGATCTATATTTATTTTACAAAAATGCCCACACTAAAACAAATATTTTTTAAAAAAAACTTCACATAAGACAGTAAAGTAATATTTATTCAGTTGCGTTCTTCTTCTGCCTTTTTATTCACTGTATTTAGCATATGCAATCAAAAAAGTAGGATTAGTTGAAAGTTAACAAAAAGCACAGTCAATGCAATAGAAAACTCACCGCCCATCTCGCTGAGCAGCTCCACCATCTGTTATTGTTTTTACAAAAATACCTAGTTTTTCTAGTCCCTGGTCTGCGCCAACTCCCATTCCAATAATACTGATGCCCAGACCACTGTCACCTAAAGGATTCAAAAAGTCTAACATCAGCCACACGACACAAGATGTAACGCATACAGAGGGGCTTCAAAGTGTTCCAAATCCTTCCATAGATCCCATTCATATTAATGCAGGATATAAAAATTCACACTCACACCCCTTTGTGTGTGTCTGTGTATTAATATTTATACATATATATATGTAAAGAATACCAAAGAAGATATTTTCTACCTACATTCAACACTAAAGCCCTTGCTTATTGTAATTATGACTGCCAGTTAGATTAAAATGTTATCATCATGATACCTGCAAAAAAATCTGCCTCAAAGATATATGAACTACCTGCCACTCATTAATGTAGCCTTCCTAACTTTCAATTAAGTATGACAGTTTGTACATAACAGAGTCCAGTCCTAAAAAAGAAGAAAAAAAAAGAAAATAAAAGTAAAAAAGAGTATATTCAAGAAAACGTGAAAATCCAATTTAAAAATTCTTTATCTTTCATCTGCATATGCCTCTTTCAAGCAAGTATTCAAGGTTTAATTTGCACCTTTTTCTATTTCTACAGGAAACACTTCCATTTTTTCCACCCTTTTCTCAAGCTCATACTCAGCTGAGGCTGCCACAGGATCAACTTCTTCATTACGTCTATCATAGTCTTCATTTGAATAGGTACTGAAAACCTAGGAAAGATAAGAGAAGAATTTTAGTGTTTTTGCCCTTCCACACTGAAATAAAAATCAGTAAGAAAAAATAAAGTAGTACATTTAAAGTTCTTTTCTAAATAATTTTGTAAACAACCATCAATTTCTTTGTAGTAACACTAAACATTGCTGTCGTAAGGCAGCTTCTGACTTGCTCAGAAGCAGTATTTTAGAAGTAATATTTTTTGAGGAAATGTGGCGAATCTTTAAAATAAACCAGTTAAAGAAATCATTTGCCCTCTCTTCGATAAATTTTGTCTCTTATGCTGTTTGGATTACATTTCCCCAAAGCCCTCTTCCTCTCTTCTGCCCTCCCACCACTCCATTTGCCAATTACAATGCTTCAAACAGATGTAGTTTTCTGATTTTGCAGGGAAATCACGCAGTTTGCCAGGAAAAGGAAATGCCTTGTTACATACATTACTATTTTTAGTAATCACTCCAGCTGAACTTCTGAATTGGTAAAAGAATAAACAAACAACACAAATGAGTAACCCATATTAAGATAAAAATCTAGAAAGGAAGAAATAATGAAGTTAATTTAATAATTCGGCATGTTTATTAGTTGTGTTTAAATAGATATAAGTTAGAAGAAAATCTAGGTAAGAAAGTCATATTCCCTTCCTCCTCTTCCTGCCTCAAAAACCTTCAAGAGATGAAAAACAACACTCATCTGAAAAAAACAAGGTTTGCATCCTTAAGTCTTTTGCAGGTGCTGATTATCTTCCTCAGTATCTCCTAAGACAAAAAACACCTAATTGATGATGTCCAGCACTGGTAGAAAGTTAATTTACAGCAGCTACTGCATTTTTGCAAATTCGGTAGTTTCACACAAAGATTACCTAGGCATGTAACTAACTAAGCGCGTAAATAACACAGAATTATATAATGCTAGCTACGTCTAGCAGCAACCTTAAATATAGAAAGTTATTAAAACAGATTATCAAAAAGCGACCAAGATAACACTATGTATTTCACACTATGGGACTAACTGGTGCAACTTCCAGACTACAGCTGGAAAACTGTTTTAGAAACTCCGCCAAATGCTATATTAACCTGTTGAACCCAGGCCATTCCACCAGCATGACACGGCCATATCTTTAATGAAGTAGTCAAGTAAAAAAGGCAAGTCTAGATTTCCTGGGTTGACAGGGAAGAAAAACATCCATGTTTTGGAAGTCTCTCCCTTCCCAACCCCCCCCCCCCCCCCCAAAAAAAAAGTCTTACTATAAGGAGTCCTGAAAAGGATTTGAATTCTTCTCATGTGTTGCACAAAGGCATAAAAATAATAATAAAAAAGACCTTTAGACTGTCACCAGCAGACAAAAATCAGCAACAGAGGGATGACAAAGAATGAATTGGTACCTGTCTCCCGTAACCTTTTTTTAAAAAGCTGCAAAATAGAGCATAAAGCCTAACCAAATGGCCTCAAGAATCCTTACTCTACCACTATCAGAAAAACAACAACAAAAAAGCTCACTAAATTATTTAAATTAATCAAGAACAATTGCAAATAGGATAGAGTAGGAGTATTTTGGTTTCATGAAGCACATGTCTCTGTTTGAAACAAGACCTGCCTAGCTTGGTTCCTTGTCATGCCCTGCAAGAACTGATCTCTACCCAAGGAGACAGCCAGGTTATGCTGCTAAAATGGATTTTCAACTAAGAACAAGAAAGTTCAAAAGTTTAGGAAATTTCAAAAAAATACCTTTTAGCATGTGCACTGAGATGCTGAATACAGAAATCTTGCACCTAGAATACTAGGTGCATGAAGAGAGAAAGAAATCAAGTTTTCTCACTTATAAGTGTACATGGGACCTAGTGTTAATAACTTAGATATGACCAAGATGTTAAAAAACACTAATTATCAAAACCCTGAATGAGCAAGATGTGGAGGATATAGTCTATGTTGGGGTTTATTTTGGAGACAATTATTTATTATCTTGATTCTTTATATCTGTTATATCTGTTCTAATGCACAAAGATGTGTAATAGCCAGTACTGATTGAAAACTTGCATTAAGAAATTTAGTATATTCACCGGACAAGAACTCCAGTTAAGATATGAATCTTTAGGCCACATAAAAATCCTGAGTCAATTTGTTCCTGGGACAACTAAACTACTGTAAAAAACTTGATACATTTTTAATCCCTTTCACTCCATCCCAAAATCTAATGAATTTTTAAGTGAAATGTCAATTATTGTAAGCATTAAACAATCAGTATTTGAAAAATATGTCTGTTAGTCCAGAACTACTTTGCTTCTTGCTATTGGCACTGAAAATAAACATGAAGCCTCATACTTATTTTAATGCAACTGGCTGCATAGTTTCTAATTCTTAAACAACAAGATGATTTAACACCACAAACATTAAAAATTTCTGAAGAACTCCAACATCTGTCAAAACTTGTGGCAAAATATTAAACTCAGTATTACTCAACAACAGTAGCACCATGAGCCCAGTGAAACACATTTGCCAAACTATTGAACAACTTCGGATCTGAACTACTTAAGTAGTAGCGCTGAAAACAAAATAGTCCAGTTAAATTAGTTTTGCTGCTTTGTAACCACAGCAGAGGAAAAACAACAAAATAATCTCCATAGCAGATCAACTCAGCTAAGTAATTTACAGCAATACTGTCCCTAGAAACAACCATCAACACCTCAGTACTGAAAAGGATAGTCTCACTTCAGAGGGTGATGGAGAAAGTATTTGAGAAATAAATCTAAAGACTTTATATGTTGTCTTTCAGAATGTAATATTTTACTCCTCAAGAAAAGCTATAAGAACTCTGTTCAAAAAACAAACTGCGGCCCTATATTTTCACAATCAAGATTTCAAAGTATGCACTCAAACTGGATTTTTTGAGGTGTGCTTCTTTTTGCTGGTGCCTTTTCGAGTACACTTACACATCACAATAATATAAAAAAGGACAGTTCATTTTTTCCCCTATCTCTCAAAAGGTATACTACAAACAAATTTTTGCTACTTTCAGACGTTTTTCTGGATCTAGGTTAAGTATCCTCAAGTAGTAGTAGCAACTATCATCATTAAAAAGCAGCTTCCAGCTCCTTAACTAAACATTTGAGCTAACGAACTTTTCTCCTTTATAAATCCCTTTGCCTGCATTCTCCTCTCCATAACAATCTCAGCTCTTCTGTTTGCTCTCTATCACCATCTTCTTGATGTATTTGAGTACATCTCTCATGAAACCTTAGGTGCCTTCTGTTTAACCCTTTTCCTCCCTCCTCTTCCCCTCAATTCTCCTCCACACAAGCACAGCCCATTCCATACTGATCAGCTAGCACTGGGTCAAGAAGTAACAAACATGAGCTATGTCAATACGGGAACTTATCTGCACCTTTCTTTGTCACACTTGACAATTTTCTCCAAACTGAGTGATTGATGGCTACCTACCTACCTAAATACACACAGACATATATGTATATTTAAAAGAAAAAGAAGGAAAAAAGGAAAGAAAAAAAAAAGCACTCTTTCTCTTCCCTGGCTAATCCAAATGGACCTTCAAGGAAGTAAAAAGTTAGCAGGACTGTAAGGAGTGAGGTCTGATAGGTGACCACAATGGTAATGGACCACATTATTTCCTTACATAACCAGACTAAGAGTAGGAAGAACCACCTCACTGTGCTCCTATTCGTCTACAGTTCAACAGAATTAACATACACAAAACAGCAATCTTTAAAATTTGCATAACAAATTGTAAGTGCAAAAGACCCCAAACAATGCATGCTGCCCATCTCAACCACAACAACAAAAAAACCCAAAAAAACAGATGACTTGTCAATTACAAGGAAACTTTGCTTAAATCTACTTTCAAATGTCTTAACACCATAGAAGTATCTCACTGAACTGCTCGACCAACAGTTGACATAATCATTTACACAGTCATCAGTTCTCCAGCTATTGAAAAATCCCATGGTGTGGTAGTCTTCTAGCATTTAGTGTGTTTTGCATCCACTGCTGTATATGAAATCTGGACATCTACAAATTACAGCTCTAAAAATCACAGGATGCATGAAAGTGAAGTGTTTTGTGAAGAAGAGTTCAACAAGCATACACTTTGGCCTAGGAAAACTATGCATTGCCTGTGAGAGTGGCAAGCTTTTAGAAATAATGCCACTGGACAGAAAAATCTTCATTCATTTCTTCACTAACTTCCAGAATAAACAGTTTTGCATTAAAGACTGAAGAATATATCAACCTGAACAAAATTACTGTTTATGTCCCAGTTATACATACAACAGTTACACATTTTGGAAAAATAGCAAAATTATGAAGGACTTGTATATCCTCCCCGAAACTTGGATAGAATCAGAACACACAAGCTACAAAAAACCTTTCAGTTCCTTTATTCAGAAGAATTAAGACGTTTAGACTACCGCTCAGTTATGACAAATACCATAGCAAAGCCTTTAGAAAGTTTTTTTTTCCCCACTTGACTTTCCAATCTTGAAAGAAAGTCCTATCCACAAATAGCTGGGGACAGACACTCCCATGCAGCATAAACTGCATGACACTAACCTAAACAGATCCATGAATGCAAATAATAGCAGAACAGTCTTTTAAGTTTACCTGAACACAGATTTTGTAGGGATCACAAATCATTATAGAACGTAGTAACCGTGCTCTTAAAAGTTTGGAAGGAAGTTTGACACAATCTGAGGAAAAAACATCCCAAGAAGTCAATCTGGAAACTGGCATTCATTTTGCCAATGGAAAGTGTCAGACCTGCAAGTGCCAAATAGCACTTTTGTCATTACGTTCATGTTAACCAGGAACTGTCAAGGTAACCACATAATTGAAAGTCAGTTTAATCTCTGCAAAAGCATATTGAAATATAAAGGGATGGCTGCACAGTTACCTGACATTATTTGCACTATCTGCAGTGCTGACTGTATTTACAGTTTATTTAGAAAACTTCAGAACAAATTCAGCTCCCATGTGAATACCTTGGACAGCCGAGTGTGCTTTTCATTTCTTACTGGCTTCATCAGTGGCAACAAGAGACTAAAAATAGCCCATGCCCCATAACACGAACCCTGTGTGCTAGTGGAGACCTGCTACTAAGTGTACAGTATTACTCTTTTCATCACCGCAGGAAAAAGGAACCATGACATAATGCTCCTTAAGGTCTGCAGAGATCAAACAGCAGCAGGACTTAAGAGTCGGGTCACCCAAGGCAAGAAAGCTTCCCAAGGCACAATACAATGAGCTTCTGAACAGCAACAGAACTAAAACATTTATTTTAGAAAACCACATCTATGTTTATTTTCAAAGGCACAGAGCTTCTTAGATTAATGTAGCATTTACATCATTATGTTCCATCTTCCTAGAAATCATCAAATCAAATTAGGCTCTCAAGCCATGCTCCAGATGTCAATATTTACACAAACCTGGCATGGTTCACATATAGCTTTACCTGTGGCTTCATCCTATGCCCCCTCACAGCTCCCAGATCCATCTCCATCCCCTCTTGTCCTTTTTTTTTCTAAGCTTAAATTTTTTCTAAGTTTGCCAATTTTACAACTGGCTAGAAGCTTCTCCTTAGAGACATGAATTAAGTTCTCTCTGCTACTGAAGCATAAATACTGTTTTTCAAGTCCTTCTCTATATGCTATAGCCATTAGCCACAAAGAGACCCAGCTTCTATTTTGAGTAAATAAAGCACAGCGGTCAGGGCTCCATCACCAAGCTCCATCTCCAAGCTCTGTGAGACACCTGCTAAACAGCAACTGTGAAAATACAGAGAATATTGCTTCATAACCACTACAAAGTTAGACTGGGCAGAGCAACAGGATTCATCATAACACTGTGCAGGAGAAAAACAAAAACAAAAGTGCCAGGCCCACCTGGCCTCACTCAGGTGGTTCTAAGAAAAGGTGAAAAACAGAACTTCTCCTTCAGTGCCCACAGACACCTGAATGGCAGCTATATTTCAAGTCAAGTTAAATCTAAGTCTAGACCAAAATGGTAAAATGAGTGGGGGTTTGTAGGATATATTTCTCCCTACAGCTATAAGTAGGCAGCAGAAATAAATTTTTGTTACACTCAGGATTTTTTTCTTCTTCCAATTTAAAGTGTACTAAAACCTATATGTGAAGCCAAAAAAAAAGGAGAAAATAGCATACAAGACATTCATATACCTGTTACAGGAAACATATAGTCAGGTTTCAATGAAAAGGGACAAAAGAAGACAAGTATCACAAGTTTTCTTTTTAAGGCCTTGAAATTGAAGTTCCCTGCCCATATTACCACTGAACACACAACAGCTCACTATTAAGCACATAAACAATTGTTTATTCTGTTAATCCAACAGCTAGACATTATGGAAATAACTATGTAATTTTAATGGAAAAGCAGTTGCTATTAACAGTTAATCTTTTGGTTGCGAAATTGAGAATCTGGAACAGGGTGGCCCCAACCCTTTTACAGAAGCAGGTGAATTGAGTAGTGCTAGTTACAGGAAACTACCTCAGTTTTGTCTACAAGACAGTTTTCAAAGTTGGCAGAGATCTATATTTATACTTTGAACTAAATCTGGCACAGACATAACAAAGAATGCAGGAAAAGTCAACTACAACCATGGCTACTTCAGTAGGAATTCAGCAATCATCAGATGTTGCTCTTGCCTACAGCAGGAAAGCAACGATCAGTAACCTAACACACATTTCAGACAACATACACGGCCCTCTCCTCAGATGCTCAAGTGCACAAATGCAAGGGAGCTTCCTTTCCTCTGGCTCTCTCATGGAGATGTGCCCTCAGCCATGGGCATTGTGCAACTCCAGTACTGGCACTCTCCTTCAGTGCTCCAGGGCACCACTAAAACAGCTACAAGAAAGCCATATAAAGTCATCCTCCCTATGGAGAGCCTATAAGAAAAACCACAATTAACAAAGCTAGCATTTTGCCCCACCCAAAACATTTTCTGGAGTACACACTGGCTGATGAATGATTATCAATCTGATAAATTACAATCCTCTGCTGCAAGAAATAGAGTGCTCGGAATTTTTACATCTGATCGATAAGACAGAAATGAACAAAGGGGAAAAACTGCTCATAAAGGATTAAATTTTTCCTTCCTGCAATAGCATAAGAAGGAAAGTATGTTTGAGAAAGCCTAGACAGCTTCCTGCTCCATCTTGTCCCCGAATTCCCCCGTTCTCTTCTCAAACTCTGCGTGGGACCAGAGTAACTGAAATCTGCAATAAGACTACAGGTAAAGAGGGCTGGAGTTGTGGAACAATTTTGTTCACTACCGGCTATTTTGGCTGTGTAAGGATCAGATTCCTAAATCTTTTAATTGTCAACATTGCCTTATACACTACTCCTTGTCACTCCTCCTGCTTCCACAACTTCTTAACCACTTAACATCCATGTTAACATTGCTACAGAATATTGACCAAGTATATAAAATTATGAGTATTATTAGAGAAAATCCTATAATCATGTATAACAGGAATCAGTCTTTTGATATTTTCTTGTGGGCAATTCTGAAAGCAAATCTGAAGTTTAATATTTCTTTTTTAATAACATTTGTACACTCAATACTATAGAAAAGGCCCCTCCTAATACAGTACCAAGTTTTAAACAAATGAATGCAATATTAAAGGCCATTTGCTTATTCATAAAAGTTTAGGGTTCATGGAAGCACCCAATACGTAAAAATGTTTCACTACATATAATAATATTTTCTTATGTCAGCTGTGTTATCTGTTTTCTAAATCACTTGTTACTAACCTTGAACATTTTTTCTTGATTAGAAAACCAAGCAGCTTTAAATAACAGTCATCCATTCACAATCTTCAAAGAGTTTAAATGGTTTGAAAAAAATAAAAAAAAAAGAAAAAAGAAAAAAGCAACCACCACAAAAATGTAATTACTGGGTATTTTTTGATTGCAAAAGAAAAAGAAACAAAACAAACAAAAAACTGAAAAATCAAATTTCCTTACCTTAATAGGAGCTGTTGAGAACTTGACTTTTCGGTCTGGCTCAGGATCTTCTTCTTCAGAAAGTCCAGGGAACTCCTCATATTCACTATCATACGTATACTCCTCCTCTCCCTCCAAAATGTCTTTACCTTCAGGCCCTTGGCTTTCTGGCTCTGTATTCCTATCTTCATCAAAAGCCTCATTCTCTATTCCAAAAGCACTGAAGTTCTCTCTCTGATTTTCCAGAACTCGCTCCTCTTCTCCTTCAGTACCCTCTTCCCACTCTTGAACATCTTGAACTTTTGTAACTTGACCATCTTTCACAGACATCCCATCTCCTATTTCTTCCTGATTGGTCTCACTGTGTTCTCTACGCTCTTCTGATACCTCCAAGGAATAGGCACTCCCTTTCTCTTCCTCTGCTTGATGTTTGAGTGACTGATCCTCTAGAACAACATGATCTTTCTCCAAACTCTCTTTTTTGTACCCTGAGCTTTCGTCTTGCACCACCAGCTTTGTACAAGTCCCCTCTGTAGGGGAAATCTGGTAGAGATCACCACCTGGTCTCCACTTAGCCTCCTGAGCAGGTCCACTGCTCATGTCCTGCCCACTTCTCTCGAGGAGTGCTTGCTCTCTCTTGTCTTTTCCAAGTGCCTTGCTTGGTTCATTGCCGATGATCACACACACTTTGGAGGATGCCGTCCTCTCTGAAGATCTTTCAGCAGCAGCAGATGAATCCAAACTGCAGTGGCCTCTCACATGATCTTGATTTGAAGTACTATCATTTTTGGAAGTTTCTTTGGATTCTTCAGTATCACTGTCACCCAGAAAGCTTTCCAGTCTCCTAGAAATAGGTCCTGCATTCAGGAAGGAGGATTTGGGGCCACTGCTAGCATGTTGCTGCTTCAGTTCCTCACTGCCTTGATTTTCAACTCTCTCCAGGGCAACTGGAAGACTCACTTCTGTATTAAAACTGAAATGGTCCGCGGCGCTGCTGCTGCAATCAGGAGAGGCTGAACCACGTCTCCTCTTGTCCTCGCTTCTTTCACATTTGTTGGGAGAATATCTGTCCACTGAGCTTCGCTGTTTTATATTTCTCTCAAAAAGTTTCCTGGTCTCAGAAAATTTTTCTGCCAGAGCAACTTTGTCCAGATCTGCCTCATCATTGCTACGGATGATCTTGTCAGCAGTAGAAGGCACAGACAGTGAATCCACAGGACTGCCGCAGGGGCTAGTACTTGTATTAAGAAGATTGTTTTTTTGGACAATAAGGAAAGATGGGCTACCTGAAGAAGGTCCATGATCTGCTGGTGGGGCCCGGCTGATTAATTTGGTCTCAGCAGGGGGACTGCTTTCACACGAGGGTGTTGAGGAGGTGCCTCCCATCTGCAGAAACATATTTTTGATCTTGTGCACTCTATTGCCATAAGTGGCAGCTCTGCCTCGACTGTGTGAATCATTTCCCCCTCCATTGGACGAGGTGCTCAGCTTCTGCTGAAGGCCTGTTCTGTTGGAAGTGTTTTCAGGATTGTTTACTCCATCAAAAGAGCATTTGATAGCATGGAAATCAGATTTATATGCGTTTCTGTGTGGAGAAGCACTTCTTAAAGTCCTTTCCCCTTTGCCTTCCGTCTTCATCATTGTCAGAGAGAGCTCCCTGGGCTCCGGAGCGAGCGGGAGAAGGAAACCTGTCGGTCGCGACGCCTCCAGCCGCCGCACGGCCACGTCCTGCCCAGCTCCGGTCCTGCCCAGCTCCGAGACGAGCGCGACGCAAGCAGCAGCCTTTGCCTCGGGCAGCGTGGAAGCGCCACGCACCACAGCAGACGGAGAAAGGAATCACTGCGCGCGCGGGTCTCCGCGGGGCAGCGCCCCCGCTGCGGAGCGCCGCATCCAGCCGGACATCTGCGGGCACACGGAGCTCTAATCAGTTCGGGCCCGCGCTGGCGCGTGTGACACGAATCTAAAACTTGTGGCGGGGGGGGAGAGGCCGCCCGAGTCCTCCCCGCGGCTGCCCAGGGACGGAGCCCATTGTGTCCG